GGATCAGCATCGACCTCCGCAACTCATCAGGCAGCTATGAAGATTCTCCGTCAAGATGAGACTGGTGACGAAATGGAGCGATATCTGTGGGCGCTTTCGATGTCCCCAGTGCCACATCCGGACATTATCAAAGATATTCTGAAGCGTTCGGAGGAGACACTGCAAAATGAACGCGTGTCAGAGACACTAGCGCTGACAGCAGCTGCCATGGCGAGACAGTTGGATACTGCGTCGATAAAGGAAAAGGTCCGGATCAGTCTGGAATTGGGACTGGACACGTGCACCGGTGATGATTGCCGACTCAAATTCCTCCGGGCCCTGAGGAATCTACGGAGTAAAGCATCTCTACCAGTTCTGATGTCTTACGCGATCAATGGGACACGATCCACTAGTGTAGCAGCTTGGCGGGCCCTAGCAGCTCTCGACAACAAATACATCACAGATGATGTGAAGATTGCAGCCAAACGTACCTTCTTCCAAATTGGAGGGCCTAAGAGGGACAGCAGTGCCAGAACTCTAGCTGCTGACATTGTTCTCGAAGGCGAGCCAACAGTTGATGAACTCAGGGGATTCCTCGAGTACCTCACAACGACCGATTCCATGTATGAGGTGCAGAGGTACCTCAGTCAGAGGCTAGAACAGATCGCTGAGAAGAACTCAATGTTTCGGGAGAGACTCAATAGCGCCATTGAAGCTGAAGCGAAAAGAGTGAGGAATTACAATGTCCTGGCACATCGTGGAATGAGCACTGCATTCACCAGACCCTTTCTCACTTCGTCCGCAAGTAATGGATCGCTAGTGACCGTCCAGGAGGTCAACTCTGGGCTGTTGAAGCGAGGAATTGTCGATGTTGTTATGCAGACTGGTCCCCATGAGGAAGCCCTCTTCTCTCTTGGTCTATTCGCTGGTGGTCTCGGCAGTTTCATGTCATCGAACTCTCAGGAGGAATCTGAGGAGGAAGTGGCCACTGCGGGAATGGAGATTGGAATTCTTGGGGTCGGGGTCAGACCCTTTGTCTTCTTCTCCGGACAGGGTGAGCTCATGGGACACGTGTGGTCGGGAACCGCCTCCGAGAGGACTCCTGCATTCCAGACAATTGCCAATCTCCATCGGCACAGGGAATCGGTGCAATTGGCTGTTGGTTTCATCGCTGAGATCGATGTCGAAGGGGCTGTGAGTTTTGATCTTGCTGGACAGATTCAGCTCTCCCTGTGGTCCAGAAATGCCCAATCCCTCGTGGAAATGGCAGCTGGGGTCGCTGTCAAGGGTGACGTCAGGATAAAATCGGATTTTGTCCTGAGTAATTCAGAGTTCGCTCTCATATTGGAACCTAAACTCAAATTATCGACGGACGTTGACTTCTCGGGACCCGTCAGTCTCTGTATGAAACTGACGCAACCCGATATCTCCACTATTCATCAGATTTATAAAATCGAGAGGATACCAGGCAGCAAGCACCGACTCAGGAAGACGCGGCGAGTTATCGTTCCAACACCAGCTAGATCCTATTTGCTCAACAGGAAGAATAACGAGATGTGCTCAAAGGTGTTTAGTTAGTGATTTGTATCAGCTGCAGTGACTCAATCAATTCATCATCAGAACTATTTTTTTCCAATTGTTTTCAATTATTCCGTGCTCACACCAGGGAATAGCGAACGACTTTGTGATCCAGTGTATTTGATTTTCTCATGCTCACCCCAGTGATGACTCCATTTACTCATCTTCAGTTAATCATTAAATCTAGCTTTAAGTCTGTGAAAATATTTTTAACGCACTTGTTTAGCTGTTTTACAATAATGCGTGCACTGTTAAAAAATTACGCTTGAAATTTCAGGTAAAATACACACAATTTCAATTTCAGTTTGAATTTTCAATAATTATTTAACAGTGTATGCAACAACTGAAGATGTGAGTGATATTCCGAGTGAATGAGTGAGTGATCCATGTTTTTCATTCTGTTCGATAAATGCCATATTTTATTAATAACAAAATGATATGAAATGAATAAATGAAACAATAGAATGACAAATAAATTATGTGTTATCGGCAGCCGCATTCGACGACGACCATATCCTCGTATCCGTACTGATAAGTAAGGGTGCCACTGGCATCTAAATAAAGAAGACTTGTGGGTGCAAGTCGTGTTGGCACACAGCAGACTCTCCCAATAGTATTTTTGCCAGGATCCGAGCCCTGTAGTGCACCATGCAGCAGCGACTGGACAATGGCGTGTTTAGTCGGACTCAAATGATCAGGAAAAGGAAAGAAACACCTGCCCATGCACTGATAGGCATCATAACCCGGTGGTGCGACAATCCACTCGTCATAATTTATCGCTGAGAAGTCAACGTAAAGTGGTCGCTTTCTGCACGGATTCTTCTTCCGTCGACGTGCGTCTGCTGCAGCTGCTGAATTATCATCACTGCCGTCATCCTCTGCGGATCGGGGAGTGCGTTTTTTCGGTTTTGTATAACTCAGGAGGAGAATAGCGCCCTCTCCGCCAGATCTCACACGCCCTCTGACTAGGAATTTCAGGGAATCCCCCTTTCGATTTCTGACGGCTGATGTCACGTCGAATGCGCGCCACGTTTCATCTCGCCTGGATGGCCTCTTGTCCTCTGGTTGGATTAGGTAGTCCAGGGATTCTACCCGGAGGATCATACCTGCGGTACCCAGGAGTTCAGCGGTTTCGAGGTACTCCGATGGATTTTTCGGTGGCAACTGAAACTCCAGGACTCGACCACCACCGATGTGGTCTATTGGACCGGAAATGTGACGGGGAGATAGTGCCCGAACGATGTCCGCTGATGGTCGCCGATGATATAGCTCCAGCATGTACCTGGATGTCGCACTGCTGTGTCTTTTCTTTGGGAAATTTATGGGCTTCTTCCCGGAGATGTTGAATACCCGTTGAGTGATCCGGGGAATGCTGGGAGATGGCAGGGACAGGTCCAATTGAATTGATGTGCTTGTTTGGACACTCGGAACACTCCACAGAGATGTCCTCCAGAGGCAGAATAAACTCAGGACACCCGTCAGCACGAGCAACCAGTACTGATGCTGATAAAACATTCTGAATCAAATCATTCGTTGAGTGTATTTAACAATTAATTACTGCATTGCAATTTCTTTTATTTCATCTAATTTATGACTATCATTACAAATTTAATAATTTCCAGTTCAGCAATTAAAAGAGAGCAAAAAGATTTATGGAATACAAAAAGCAACCGGAAATACAGCAGATGGTGTTATAGATCGATTCGTCAAAACTTTTGAGTTGAAGCTCATTAAAACTGAAACTATTCAACCTTAAATGAATAATTGAAAGAGACAAAAGTCAACTTTCTGAATTGTCAGTTAATACGAATCATCAATATAAAAATGATAACACAATACGAAATGGGATGAAGCCCCGGATGAACCCGGACACTAATTACCTTTTCAATGTTAATTAAGCCCTTCCTTGATAATTTACCAGATATTCAGAGGACACATCGATTCACGTGGCAGACTGATTCTCCAGAGACTTTCAACGAGAAGTATGTGCTCGCTACCTAAATAGCAACCAATCGAGCCTTCAATTTTTCAGTTATCTATCCAAGAGGTATTCCACTTGAGTGGATTCAAAATACATCAATGATCTTCAAAAGACTCAGTAATACAGATCCCCAGGTCGGTCCATCATCACTAGTCGATAAGTTCTTCTTCCTCCGTGAAGATGCCTTCGTCCTCGTACCCTGGTAAACTGCAGAGATATTTTCAACCCCTGGGGGGAGGTTTTCCACAGAGGGCGACTCATCGATTTCATCACCAGTGGTGACGTCAGTCCTGATATAATTCCAGAAGGGCGGCGTGGAAGGCACCGACGGTGCGGATATCCACGGGTATCCGCATAGCAGAAAAAAAGAGTTAGTGATACAGACGGTTAAATGACGCGAAAAATTATTATTTTTAATCTCAACTCACTCTGACCTGTCGGCCTCAGAATCTTCAATCTTCAATTATTTCTTCTGAAATTAAAGTTCAACGAATCGTTATCGAATTGGAACGTCTCAGGTGATTTTAAGAACGAATTTCATATCAAACTCATCAGTAAGTATTCAATTATATCGATTATACATTTCCGGGGTTTAAATATTTAAGTTCTTTTTCCCGATGATGAATAATTTTGTGAAATAAGGCAGCTCAAGCCAATTTATGGGGTATGAAGTTACGAAGAAATCGATTTTTACTATTGTGAAGAGTTTATCGCGTGAGACGAGTTATATTATTTTTAATAAGTTAGTGGTTATGGATTTTTGGTAATTGTTTACGAAATCAATATCGAATTGAAAATCCATTATTTATTGTGATTTATCGCGAGAATATATATATATATAAACAATACGAGTTATCAATTTTTTATTAATAAAGCCCTATTATTCTTTATTATTATTATTATTATTATTATTATTATTATTATTATTATTATCATTATTACTATTATTATTATTAAAGATCTTCATTTAATTATAATTCATTCAAATCGACATTTATAGTTGAATTCATTGAATTCAATTTGGATAAATCATAGGATTATGAATATCTAATAATAAAATCCTTACTGAATATTAAGTCTTGAAATCATGGCCTCGCGTTTGGAATCGAATAACTTGAATGATTTGATAAAATGTAAAATGCAAATGCAAATCGTAGAAATGTTAGCCCCTAAACATGTAGAGAATGGATAATCCCAGAGTTACCGCATTCAGTGTTCCAGACACACTTGGAGGATCTCCTGCCGTACATTGGTGGTGCTGGTGCCCTGGTGTTAACAGGTGTTGCTGCATATTACGCAACAAAACCCATCCCGGAAACACCACTGATGCCCCTCGACGCCCAGTCGAGGTTACTTCCGGTGAGCGAGCGTAACCTTCGAAGAAACAGTTGCGTGTGCAATAGATGAGAAGATCACTAATTAATAGAATAATATGGTAAATGTAATATAGATCACTTGGATGTTTGTAATCCCTGATGAATATCTTCGTTGTCGAAATTGGATGGCATGGTTAATCCCTCCGAAGATGGAACTCCCAGAATAGATCCAAGTCTCTCACAATTGCTTTATCTTTGACTCCCATTGATGTGGTGATGACACTCTGGAGACGACATCCAAGGGGTGTTGTAAAAATTCATTGTTAGGATCTTCTGTTTATCTCAAGCTTGTCCACTGGCATTCCTCCAAGAGGCAAGACCATCACCAGCCGAGGTCTCTGATGCCTCCCTTCAACTCATCACCTATATTTAAATTCCCCTCCTAGTGTTGGATATACTAATAGATCTTCAAGTCAACCAAGGTGGACGTGCGTGTTAACTTGCTCTTCTGGCAAGAATTTTTCACGCACACACTAATAAATACTCGAAGGTGGGATTAGCGGTAGCCAAATAGCAGAAGCATCAGGTCCCTTCAGTTTTCCACCGGTTGCGCGCCGAGCCAAACGGTCTTCGGACTTTATTTATCATCGGATCTGTGCGTGTGGATGAAAAAACATTATGGTTTCACGCGACACTCATTTTCCAACAATTCTCCATTAATTTCACTTAGTACTTCTCGAGATTTAACGTATTCATTAATTTTTTTGTGCTCTAATTTCGAGATTTTCAAGGTTTCATGGGATTTTTACGCTTTTTCGAGATGAACGGGTGATTCGGCGGTCTGGTAGTGATTTCTGGTGGAGGTGGGGAGTTGTTAATTAATTTTTAGTAATTAATCCTTGTGATCGGGGACGAGATGTCGGGCTGTGGCGGCGCGCAGCCGAACATTCGCCCACCAATCGAGCTGAAGGAGCAGTCGGATACTATCAAGGTGGTTAATTATTAAATAACCATCAGGCAAATTAAAACAAATGGATAAATTATCAACAATCAGTCTTCAGTGCAATTATTCTTTTGCTCCACTGGCAGAAAATCGAAATTAATCACGGATTACAGACTCAACGTGTCACAATTGTCAATTATTCTTTTTCATTCCACTTAACAAGTGGAGATAAATAAGTTTCATTACTCCACTATTCTCTTAACACTCGAATCGATAGACCATGTCCGCTCTCCGGGAGTTATAATTGGGTATTGACGAGTCGTTACATAACAGTCACGAGAGAAAAATGGGATAATGGTGGAATGATGAAATGACTAATACAGATTAAATCATTGGGGATGGAAAAATTCCTTTCCTCTTTTGTCACACAGAATTCGCGGCGGCAAGTGAAAAACTTTTCATAATTACACAGAAACTTTTCGTGGGCTTTCAAATTTTTTCTCTGCTCCTTCCACGACAAATATTCAGAGATTTTTCATTTGTCCAGGGTGCCGAGTACATCCGAGTGTCAAAATTCTACAAAAACAGTCGAGAGGGAAAATTCATAAGCTTCATTCATGAGGACGTGAGAACCCTCTACGATGCCTTCCGGAAAGGAGCCAAAGAATCAAGTGAGTGGATTAATTACCCCCGAATTAACGAAGACTAATAATTCAGACATCATCAGCGCACTGACCCCATCACAGATGATAAATTTCGACATTTTTATTTTATAACTAATTGAAATAATAACTAACAAATAACTGAGGAATGATTTGACTTCTTCTTCTTTTCTATCTTTACCGTTTTTAATTAATGGCTTTAATTGACAATATGTGAAATTTTTAATTATGAAATGTTGTCATAACACTCGACATGAGGGATTCTTAAAAATTTAACAAATCTAGTTCTTTTTTAATAAATTCATCTGAAGAGGAATACCTTGAGCATTCGAAACGCGCAGTTCGGTCTGTCAGTGATCTTCTTTAAATTTTTATAATCAACATCGATAAAGAATTTGACCGAATAAAATGGCCGAAACTCATTAATTAAACAGAATCAAGAATATTCCACACCCACATATACCCAAAATTCACGTTTCAAATTTTCTTCTCCAACTATCGATGGGATTGGTGTAAAAAAATATAATGTTTTTGCGTTCTGTCATTTAACGGCTCCCAACATTTTCTGGTGGTGCGATAATTTCCTGAATTCCCTCTACAATTTTGCGATTCCTTTAAAAAGTTTAGGGAAACCCCCGAAAAATGATAAAACATTAATTCCGGTTACACATGGTTACAACCCACAATTGCGACCGAAAAACTAATTATAAAATATTAAAACAGCCTGAGAAAATTGGACTCCCTTGTTTTTTTAATTTCTAAATTTGAATTATTGTTCCACTGAACGGAATTTGTGAATTTATATCGAGACAGCTGCAGTACGTAACTGAAGAGTTATACTCAATGTTTCTGCATTCCATTAGAGAAATGTTTTATTATAGATTTGAATGGAGTATATTTCGGTGACCATTCCAGATGTGTATCATCATAAAAGATGAATAAATACGATCTCCTGGAGACCTGAATTCTCGAGAATGATTTTAATTGATTTATTGTATTTCTGATGATGTACGATAGACAATGGTCCCTGCCTGGGATGGAGAGACAGCCTGAGCAAGCCGTACCAATGGATGAACTACAACGAGACTCTCCTGAGAGCGAAGAACTTCGGATCGGGCCTGATATCCTGCGGTCTGGCCCTGGGCCCTCAAACACTGATCGGTCTGTACAGTCAAAATTGTCCAGAATGGGTGCTCACCGAACAAGCCTGCTACACCTATTCCTTAGTAGTTGTTCCACTCTACGATACACTCGGACCTGACGCCTGTGCCTACATAATAAATCAGGCTGAAATCAGTCTGGTAATATGTGAAGACGATAAAAAGTGTAATTTACTGTTAGATAAAGCCCCAAGGTGAATTGAGAAATAATCCATATACTGTCAATTGCTACTCGCAGTTTATTCAATCATGTTCATCTTCAGGTGTTTGAGAAAACTCATTGTGGTGAGAGAAACGCGACCGGCGACAAATCAAAGAGCCAAGAACCGAGGAGTTGATCTTCTGAGGTTTGAGGATCTCGAGCGTCTGGGGGCGCAGAGAAATCAACCAGAAATTCCACCAAAACCAACGGATCTCTGCACTGTGTGCTACACATCAGGAACAACGGGGAATCCCAAGGGTGTGATGCTGACGCATCAGAATGTTATGGCGGGAGTTTGTGCGGTTCTTCTGCAATTGGGTGATCACAGGCCATCAGCTAGTGACGTGATGATCAGTTTTTTACCACTTGCCCACATGTTGGAGAGATGCTGTGAGAATGGAATGTACATTGTGGGTGGATCGGTGGGTTTTTACAGTGGTGATATTAAAACACTGCCCGAAGATATGAAGGCATTGAGACCTACGGTGATGCCTGCTGTACCGAGGCTTCTCAATCGTCTCTATGATAAGGTACGATGGAGTTAATTTTTCCACAGCTATTTTATTTCCAAGACAACAACACCTGCCAAAACTCTGGTTGCATTGGAGGCCATTGTCGATGCTGCGCAATTGAATATTTCAGCTGCCAAATCCTGTGAGAGAGATTTAAAATCTTCAACAAATATTTAATCAGTATCTTCAATTAGTAATGTTTATTCATAAATTCGTTCATCATCGATCGATCGCCTTTATCCCTCAATTATAATCGATTAATATATTTTTATTGTTTATTTATATTCGCAGGTGCAGGCTGAGCTTCAAAGTTCATTCCTTAAGCGAATGCTCTTCAATATGGGGATGAGATCCAAGGAATCGGAAATAAAAAAGTGCATCATACGGAACAACAGTTTATGGGACAAATTAGTTTTTAAGAAGATTCAGGAGTCGATGGGTGGAAGAGTCAGGCTGATGGTCGTGGGATCAGCACCACTAGCTGGTAATGTCCTGACATTTACTAGGTGTGCACTAGGATGTCTTGTCGTCGAAGGATATGGACAGACCGAGTGCTGTGCACCCATCACATTGACAATTCAAGTGAGTATCGATTATTTAGCGATTTATGAATATTCCCAAACTAATTCCACGTTCTAGCTATCCCAAAGTGTTTCATTATTTATCAAAATAAATCTCAACTTCTTCTTCCGCAACGTGAACTAAAAAAAACCTGTCCAACGTGACAGCCTCACCTCGAGACTTCGTGGCCTCGAGATTCGTCACGGGCATGTGCTTTTGGTTATTCGAATCGTCTCGTGATTATCGAGTGAATGAACCTACACAAAAAGCCATTCAAATCAGTCCCAACTAGTTTTATTATTCATAAAAACCCCAATCATCACAGAAATTCATCAGCCCGACGCCATATTGAGTATCAATTTTGAATCCATCCGTAACAATTTCATGAATACACTAATTCACCGAATAAAATAGAGAATTCAATGTTTATAAAATTAAAAAAACACTCTGGAGACATGATCTTAAAGGAATAATAAGCAGAAGACGTGTAAAAGAGATAAACAGTATAAATAGACAAGAGAGGGGATGAGAGGAGTTTTATATACCGTGAATACATGACTATTTGATAAATACTCGAATATATAACTCTAACTCTTAGGATTATTCACGCGGTCAATAAACGCTTCCACAAATAAACTGAGCGCTCTTAGGTCTTTCTCTCTTCCCTTTCTCTTCGCACTTATGTTTACTTTTACACTCAGCTGGTCAGCTCAGATGCTGTGGAATATGTCCGGGATTTCGACACATGTCTGGTGCACAATCCGATTTGATCCAACATGAGTTAGATTTTTACGTTGAAATTCCAACCGATGCACAGCTGAATAATTTTTTCTAGGACACACCGTGACTGATCACCCAAATCTTAAAATAAATACCAGTCGCTGATTAATCCAACTTGAGGCTTTTCTATTTTTATTTTAAACCAGCCAATAATATCTGGTTATCTATTCACTCATTATTTATTTGGGGACTTAAATAAACAATTCGTGAAAATTTTTATTAATTATATGTGATTTTAATTAGGCATGTGACGAGGGGGAATGACGAATCCATTAATTTCGTCAGAGTTAAACGTAGAGTAACGTCACGGTTATTACGAAAAAAACGTCTCGATGGTTTAATAATAAGATTGAGTGTATATTTTTGCTAGGGTGATTATGTGCCAGAACACGTGGGCCCACCAGTCGCTTGTTGTTGTGTTAAACTAGTGGATGTACCTGAAATGGAGTACTACGCGGCGAATAATCAAGGCGAGGTATGCGTCAAGGGTACAAACGTCTTTGTGGGATACTACAGAAATCCAGAGAAAACAGCTGAAGTTGTTGATGAGCAGGGATGGCATCACACTGGAGACATCGGCATGTGGTTGTCTGTGAGTAAATTAAATTTACTTCATAATTACCCTGGAGTAATTATCGATATTATTTCAGAATGGTTGTCTAAAAATAATCGATCGAAAGAAACACATCTTCAAGCTGTCACAAGGTGAATACATCGTACCAGAAAAAATAGAGAATATATACATCAGAAGTCAATACGTACATCAAGTATTTGTGCATGGAGAATCATTGAAGTCCTGCGTTGTGGCTATTGTTGTTCCTGATGTTGATGTTATCAAGTGTTGGGCACTTGAAAATAGTATACCGGGTACACTGAGTGTTCTCTGCGCTAATCCGGAAGTTAAAAGGCTGATTCATGACGATATGATTTCTTGGGGTAAAGAGGCTGGCCTCAGGTCCTTCGAGCAGGTAATAATTTTAATCATTTACACTTATTTTCATTACTGAACAATAATTATTGTTTATCAGGTGAAAGATATTTATCTACATCCGGATCCATTCTCTGTACAAAATGGCTTGCTCACCCCAACATTAAAGACTAAACGGCCACAACTTAAAGCCTATTTCAAGCCTCAGATCGAGGATCTCTACCAGAATTTGAACTGATGCTATTGAAGGCCGTAATTAGATTTTAAAAATCATCTGCAGCCTCACCAGCACCTTCTGCAATTGTAAATTATTTTTTGTGAATGCAAAAACAGAATATGGAGAGTATCTTTTAGTGGTTGTTCTTTTTTTTTTCACGTGTTCATCTGCCACGCCAAAGCCTACGCTCTGTCTCACTATTTTATTATTCATAATTATTATAATAATTTTCACTTTACACGTACAAGACGCGCCATTCACACTGCTAGAGGGAAAAACCAAATAATTAGAGGTAAATCTTGAGCTGTCAGTGAGTGACTCTAATGGAGAATGAAAATATTGAGGAAAATGAACTCATTTTTTCATTCGACAAACCACAGAAATAATATTTGAGTATAAAATAAAACTGAATTATTACTAGACTGATTTGACTCTATTTATTCCTCACGATTACTCATCTGTTTATTTACAATTATTTTCAAATCACCTACAGATTTGTCTCTCAAAATCCAGTGACATGCATTCTCATCAACAGAGTCTTAACATTAATGACAACATCAACAAAGATAATAAATAAATAGTGTCTTCTTTTGTTTGATATCAATCAATCAGTAGACAATGATAAATTGATTAGAAATTGGAATTAGGCCACATCAGACAGGCGCTTCCGGTAGCTAGTGCTTCATTCAAAAAATTTTTCAACTCTCCCATCGCTCAATTGTACTTTAACTTCGGGATGTGAAGCTGTAATATATCACGATACAGCCGACAATTATGAGAATAACAACGACAACTGCTAGAATTAGTCTTTGTTGAATCGATCGAAAGATCATGCCGGATAGAAGGCGAGAGCCTCTGCCCAATTCCGCGTCTGTTTCCCTCAACTGAAATTTAAGAATTCATTTTATTACTCTAATGTAGAAATTTTATCGAATAAAGGACTGAAAAATTGGTGAAACAATTACCCTTCCCCGACTCCTTTGAATTGTCTCCCTCTGGTCATGAAGATCTTTCAGCACCTTTAGAAATAAACAATATAATATTTTATAAACTGTTATCCACTGTTATCTTTATTTTTTATCAATTTGAGAAAAATAAAAAATTAGGACTCACTTGAGTCCCAATCTCCTCGGTTTCCAGAACCATTCTGTATCCATTCTGGAGAGTTCTTCCAGTTCTATCAATTCTCTCTGAAGTATCCAACAGCCTTTTCCTCTGGTCCTCAGTAACTCCACTGCTCCAGTTATCCTCAAGTCCCATGTCGATGGCATCGTCTCTCGGTTTCTTCGCTGATTGAAATTCCTGGGAAAGTCTCTTCAACTCAGCTCGATGGCTTTCAACTCTGCCTTTCAGTCGTTCCCTCTGGCCTCCAGATATTCCACGAACCTCCAACTCCATTTGCTCCAGCTAAAATGTAAAAAAATTCCCTAATTAATAGCTCTACCCTCCAGCCAGGTTCTCTGATCTCTGATTGTAATAATTTAAATCTTTAATTATAAAACAGCTGTGGATTTTCCAACGGAATTGCGTGAGAATATTATATAAGGGAAAATAATAATATGAGAATCATAAAAATTCTCCAGGAAGGAGCTCTCACCAGCTCCAAGGCTTCCTCCAGCTGTCGATCGACATCCTGACAGAAGGCGCGTTTTTCGCCTGAAAAATCATGACGTCACATGTTTATCGATTATTATTATGCAGTGGAATATTGCCGCTAGGTAGCACATCCCAAAAATCTCTTTTTTCTCACAGAAAAACTCATGAATTACCACGAATTGTAAAGAAAATATTGTCAGTACTCACTGCCAGTTAATACTGATATCCTGCTGATTTTTGCGGTGATATCTGCAGTTAAAACCGCGTATTGTTGCTCGTAGTTGTCAATCAAAGTTGCCATGATTGCAACCAAAGAGGATTGACTAAAGTAGAGGCTCAGTTCTGGGGGTTTGAGTGACCTCAGCGACATCGTAGTACTGCACCCCAAGATAGGGAGGGCGCTGGGGTGTCCATCAAGTCGACGGGGTGAATTTTATTTTTTGCGATATGAATACTCTTCCTTTTTTATTTGTTTAACCGAAATTTAGCCGACTGTAGAACGAGGGAAAGAGGGAAGCCACATCTTGTGGAATTTCAAATGAAAAAAATTATTCAATATATGGAAGATATACTCCTAAAAAAAATATACTTGTTATGAACGCGTTGTCTAATCCGCAGCGTGCTTGCCTAGCTGCCGATTAAACAACGCGCTCATTATAAAAATATATTTTTATTAGGAGTATATCTTCAATATAATGAATAATTTTTTTCATCTCTTTTTTTCAATCTTTGATTACAACACCCTCCAGCCTTTTCTCTCACGTCCGCTAGATAGAGGCGACACATTCCGCGGTTTTATTCAAATTTATAATCAAATTATTCAAAGAGTTAATTGAAATGACAGCTAAATCGACAAATGAAATAAACTGCCACAAAAGTATAAAAAAAGGAAAGGATAACAATCCGAAATTATTATATAATATTATCCAACTATTATATAATAATTACAACAGATAATATAACAGGAATTCACAAAATTGGAATGAGTAGAGAAATTCGTTGTAAACAGAACCCGATTTTTATTCTCATCATTATTTCACAAAATGTATCCTTATTTTAATTTTTGTATAATAATCGTAAAAAACGGGATGTTTACTTTTTGGATTTTCCACCCGGTGCCTTGGTGACATCGTCCGGATTTTCTGCGGCATCCTTGACGCGTTTAGCCCGAATGCCAACCAACCTGGCATCAGCCCTTGCCTTTCGAAGGGTGATGTACGCTTGGAACCTCTGCTCTTCCTCCGTAATGGGTCGAGCTTTGGCCTTGAGAACACCGGAGGAAAGGATGGGCATTGGTGTACCCTTCACCTGAGTTGCAATCTTGCATTCCTCTGGGCTGGAGTCTCCCTTGTTGGGCTGAAATAATGATTATGAATATAATTGCAATTTTCAATTTCACATGAGAGTCATTACCTTCTTCTCGTTCTTGGGGAAGAGGATCAGGTTGGCTCTGTACTCCTTCAACCGCTGGACGTTCGTCTGAAGCGATTCCACTGATTTATTTCTCCTTCGGTGGTCCACGGAGATGCCAATGCTCTTGGCGAAGTTTTTATTCAAACCAGCAGCTTTCACCTCTGCAAGTGTAAATCCTCGCCCAGCACGTACTTTAGTATGGTAGCGAACTGTCGGGCAACGAACGACAGGGCGAAGAGCGTCAACTGGTCTAGAAATATTATAAAATTAATTGAATGAATTTTAACATTTCAACTGATTTAATAATAATTACTAACCTAGGGGCTAGACCACGTGCCTTTTGCACCCGATTCGCCTTTCTCCTGATTTTACGAGCTGGCTGGTTAAACCAGGTTCGTACATTCTTCTGCCAATCCTTGTGGAAGTGGCCATTGGGTATCATATTATTCCCCTTACCCATGTTGATTTCTGTAAAAAAAAGGAAAACTTTTAGATGAATTCTTCAAACAATTTCGGAAGCCCAAAACCCCAGATGGGCTGCCCCAACCTCACAATCACAAAATCTTTGCGGAACAGTTATTTCAGGCTCAAAAAACTCTGAGAAGCTATTCAAAATCCCAAGTAACACCTCAACAATAATTCTGTGCAATTTATAGAGCATTTTTTCCGGGGTTTTTATGACTTTTTGATGAAAATTTGGGGACTCACCAGTTGGAGATTATCTCTCAGCACGAGGAGACAAACGAAAGAAAGGAAAATGGCGGATCCCCTGCGCGCGCATCTCATCCGGCGATAGTGGTTCTCAAATTCATTATTATTATTCAGTGATTGTTGTTGCTAATCGATCAATAAAAAGGAAGAGCGGCTGTCAGCTTTACCTGTTGACTATTCTCATGTGTAACTTTGAATAAAACATCGAACGATTCATGTGTCATAAATTTTTTTAATTTGAGAAATAGTGGGAAGCTCTGAGAAGTAAATACAAGTAAGTAATTGTCATTTAATAATTTCCATGGCTTATGGAGCCCCTCATAATTATTTTTGAATTTTATATGTTTTTTATTATGTCTGTGGATTAATTTTCGTTGTTTTATCTCTCGTTTTATTTATGTTTCCTCGTTTTAATGCATTTGATTTTTATTCTGTTGATAGATTTGTTAATGAATTTTTGGTGATTTATTTGTTTTAAATGAGACACATGACTCTGGGAATTTTGTTGCGCATTTTCTTGTGGGTGAATGGCATCGAGGGATGATTACGAATATCATTTGTGTGCAGGTAGTTATATTATTTATTAATAATTAATACTTATCCGGAGAGGATATGCGGCATTTAATTCCAAAAAGAGCCTAACATATGGTTGAGCTTTGATGGGAGTGGAACTAATTAAAATGAAACCGTATGAATTTTCATATTTCAGGAATAATAATCTAGGACTAATTTTCAATCAAACATATCTCCGCAACTGAAAGAGATAGAGAATTCTGTCAATAACCTTTTTTACAGCTCTCAATCATCTCTAAAAAAAAGGTTCTTATAGAAATTTCGATATCTCCCTTAGATTTCGGAATTTTCATTAAAGTCTGGCCAGTAATAAAAATAAACATACGATTTTCCTTGGGATTTTATCCATTTTTATCGGAGAAGAGATAATATTCTTTTCTTTTCTGTTACAGGTGGTGAAAATATGGATCAAATAGGAGAGCCAACACCAGGCCAACGCCTCGAGGGTTTCAAATTCCTGTTCGCAGTGACTGAAGCAATCGGTGGAGCTCTGATTGTTCTCGTATTCGTCTGGGTGGTCCACTTCAGAGGTGGATTTGCCTGGTCCTCTGATGTCTCCCTGCAATTCAATTGGCACCCCTTTTTGATGACAGTCGGCCTTGTCTTTCTTTATGCTAATGGTAACAATAATCATTTATCCTCCTGGCCAGCTAAAATCTTGATGATAATTTAATCTACAGGAATGCTGATCTACAGAATCCAGAGGAATGTTAGAAAACGTCGTCTGAAGCTCCTTCACGGTGGGATGATGGTGTTCACGTTGTTTCTCACAGTAATTGCTCTTGTCGCTGTCTTTGACATGCATAACAACTCGAAACCCCCAATTCCAAATATGTACACCCTGCACAGCTGGGTGGGCCTTACGAGTGTAATTTTATTCGGTTGCCAGGTGATTGAGAAGAATTGAAGTCATTTAATCTGAAGCTCTATAATTTTGTCTGCAAATTATTTATAATTCAAAAACATTACCAAACTATTTTGCATGTTTTAAATATTGAATTTTCAGTGGCTTGCTGGTCTAGTCTCCTTTCTGTACCCGGGAATTCAAGCACCACTTCGTGCTGCCTATTTACCGATTCACACCTATTTCGGAACAGCAGGATTTATCGGAGTTATTGCTTCGTGTCTCCTAGGACTCAACGAGAAAGCGATATTTGCACTAACGTAATTCTCTATCTATTGATATCTCCATTTAATCGATAATGGCATTTAATTCTTCATTTTATCTTTCCAGGCCACAGACTTACTCAAAATTCACGTCCGAAGGTGTCTTCATTAATGTTATCGGATTACTTTTCGTCGTGTTCGCGGGTCTCGTCGTGTATTTGGTGTCTCAGGACAGGTACAGGAGATTGCCTCGCCCTGAGGATGAAGTACTGCTCACAGGCCAATCTCAATGAATCTCAAATAGAATTCAGTAATGAAGTGATAAAGAGTAACAAACGAAATTCTCACCTAATCGAGTATTCGAGCAATACTCTGGATCTAAGAGGAATACCGAGATTTTCCTCATGACCTCTTTTACAGAGTCGACTGAAAACTACAAAAAAGGTCATTGTAGAAATTTCGATATCTAGTTTAGATTAGGAGATATTATTTGAAAACGTATGTGTCATCAGAATCGATTTGTTATCTTTACGATTTCGTTGCGAAATTAAATTCCTTTTAATTCAATTGTATTGAATAATTAAAAATGTCAGTGGAACCCGGTGCTCGTATTAATAAATATGATGATATATTATATTTTTTTATTTATATTTATATTTATATTAAATTAATTTTTATTTATGTTTATATTAATGTTTTTTTGAATAACTAGCGCTTGAGGGAATTCACGTTTTCAAATGCTTTTGCGAATGTTTTATGACAATGTCAATCCATTTGACTCGATATAAGTCGATATGAATCGATTGTCGATCATGAGTCGATTTTAATTAGTCGACTTTCTTCAAATCGATTTTTGAGCGGGAGTCATTATGCTCTCGTTCCAAGTGGAAAAAACTCGAACTATTGGAAACAATAAATCGAATCCAATTAGCGTAACACGTGTTTACGTACTCGTATATTTTTTGTCAATTTATATTTATAAATTTTTTATACCTTTAGAAATAGTGAACAGTGTTCTAGAAAATCAATTGAACATCATGAGAAGATTATCAGAGGAAAGGACGAAGTTGGTATTCGAAAAACTGACGAAATAGTGAGTGAATTAATTATTTTTAGGTTATTTTAGTGTTTACATCGACGATTTTGATAGAAAATGTTAGTCTCTCAAAATAAATTTTCGAATATTTGTCAATGCAGTTGTTAATTATTATTATTAAAATTATTATTAAATATTAAGTATGATGTATGAACGCAATTAACTATTCAATTAGTTTTTCGTTGATATCTTCGAATCTAAGGGACTTACCGAGATTTTTGTTGATAACAATTTCATTGTTCTCAATTAGCTCTACAAATAAGATTTTTACAGAAATTTTGGTAATTCCATTATTTTCGGAAATGATGCCCGAAAACTCACCGAGAAATTCAACTCCTCTGTTTTTAGCAGTTAATCGCAGCGTTTAATTAGCGAAATATTTCTAGAGTTGTTTAATTATGTTTGCAGCATTGGTAACAATGTGAAATTGCTAGTGGATCGTCCAGATGGTATTTATTGTTTCCGGGAGAAAAAGGACAGAGTTTATTACGTCTCGGAGAAGATTCTCAATTTAGCAGCGACAATAGCACCCGATAGTCTGATGAGTTTTGGCACTTGTTTCGGGAAATTTACGAAATCAGGAAAATTCAGACTCCATATCACAGCACTCCATTACCTAGCACCCTACGCACAGGTAATTAACACAATTTATCAATGAACTCTCTCGATAAATTTCTAATTTTCACAGAAAAAATTATTTCAGTCAAATTCAGCTAAAAAATTAATTAAAATATTAAACTTCAGCACAAAATCTGGCTGAAACCCTCGGCAGAGCAGCAATTTGTTTATGGACACAACATAACAAAATCAGGATTAGGAAGGATAACAGAGAATACACCAAAGTATCAAGGAGTTATAGTACTTTCTATGAATGATCTTCCCCTGGGATTCGGTGTGGCAGCGAAAAGTACAGCTGATTGCAAATTTGCAGATCCAATGGCAATCGTCTGCTTTCACCAGGCGGATATCGGTGAATACATCAGATCAGAGGACACTTTATTATAAATTAATAATCAAAATCTTTCTATGTATGAATTAAACCTAGCGAATACAATTGATCGATTAATTTATTGGCCTACGAGGAATTATTCACTTTTAATTGTTTTTTTTATTCAAACCATTTGAGCAATCATCAGTCTTACGTAATTATTGACAATATAGTTAACATTCGATTTTAAATTGCCTCTGGAATTTCTTCAATGATTTTTCAAACAAACATTATTATTTTTCACTTGTAAAATCATACAAAATGATTTTACCGGTATTAATGATTATTAGTTAATAGTAAATATTCGAAAATTGCTTTAAAAATCGTATAAAAAGGAAATCATTTGATTTTTAACAAATAAAAATGAATATAAAATGAGAATTCAGTGAGATTCATCACCTGGGGGTGACAGAATCACTGTAAAATTCAAACTGCCAGAATTGTCCGAGAACATTGGAGCAGGGGGCGACGTAAACATCGGTTTTAGGGGTAAGTCCAGTTCCATCGAGACAGAGGCCAGTGGATGCGTGAACTAAATTCCCACTGTCCGTCAGAATCCACTCTTTCTCGTCACCCCGCTCGCGACAATCAATCATTTTAACTTTCGCTCGTCGAGACATGACGTCTTCGAGATTCACCACGGCGCAGATTTCGTCTCGACGGAGTTCTCCAGCATTACTGAGTGAAAATAACTAAAAAAATAGTCCAAACTAATTAGAAACAAATACTAAATGAGTAATAAATCATTAATAAACCAAATAAATGTACCTGACTGGGATATAACCTGGAGTGACAGCCATAAACCCCCAGATCGTACGGCTTGTCCTCGTCTCTCTGGAGATTATCCAAACAAATATTTCTCTCCTTCATCTTGACTTTGCCATAAGCAATGACATTCTCATCAGGCACAAATTTTTCTGGATAAATATTCTCCAGGTACCAGCGAAAGCCCTTGCATCCCAGTTTTTTTCTCAGCTCGACTCTGTCGGTGATGTCCCCGATTTTTTCCTCAATGTCGTCCTTAAATTCGTCTCTGTGCAGAAGGAAGAGTCTTTTATATTCATCCATCCACACGTAAACCAGTCTGGCCGTGTTGATGCCATGGGTGTCTTTATCATTGGGAAATTTGTAAGGATGAAAGTTCCTGAAGATATGCCCCACCCTCGAGCAGGGAGTTACCTCCAGAGATCCACCACACTGCCATATCCTGAAGGACATCTCCAAGTTTTCACCACCCCATCCGTCCATTTTTTCATCGTAACTTCCTATTTTCCAAAAGTAAGAGCGATTTATGGCGAAGAGACCACCCGCCATCGTTGGAGACCTGATAAACACTTTCTATTAATTTATTTAAACAGAAAACAATGCGCATTTTCATAATTAAAGCCGTAATTCCAGAATTACTAAATAATCTTACCGAACAGGTGCAATTTTTGATTTTCTCCCCACTATCTCCTTCTCCTGGATGTCGATCCAGGTGAAGTCGCCAGACCAGGTGAAGCCCCCGACCTGGAAGAACTCAGGCCGATTATCGTGATAATATTCGAGTGTCTCCTCCGAGATGTTATCAATAATAGGCATAACGACAGCATCAGTCTTCTTCTGGATTCGCATGAGTAGTGGCTCCAGCCACTGGACAATGACCTCGCAGTGAGCATCAAGGAAGACGAGAACCTCACCAGAGGCTGCCTTTGCACCTTTCAGTCTCGCCCTGATGAGGCCCCGTCTCTCAGGTAATCTAATCAGCTTCACCCTCTCTGTGTCGAATCTCTTCATCAAGTAGAACTCCAATTTTCCCTGGAGATCATCCTCGTCTGACGCGTCATCGACAAGAATGACTTCCTGAAGAATCTCCTTCGGGGAATTATTCAAGACACTCGTTATTGTTCTCAGCACGACACTCAGTGGCTCGTTGTAGAAAATAATAATCACTGAGGCTGTGGGGAGACTCGTTACGCCAACGGTGATGTTCCTGCAGAGGGGATCCCTTACGTCTGGGAGAGATCGTGACAGGGAGATTCTGTCTGACAACAAGATATTCAGTGCCTTCTCCTCGAGGACCTTCTGGGCCTCCAATTTCTCCTTTCCATAGAGATTCGCTGGACGTCCATTTTCTCCCAGGCCCGGAATTATTTGGGCCTCATATTCCTCGAGCCACGAGGAGTACCTGAAATCAACAGTTCTTTGAGTTCCAATTGCTCTCAATTCGATTCATGGAATAAATCTTTCACAGGATTATTGAGATATTATTTAGGCCTCGAACCTCGTACTCCCCGTACGTTAATATATAAATAAATCGTTGGATTCCCATCGAAGCGAAATAAATTGATTATTTTACTCGAAGAGTTGAAAATTCCTGTTGAAGAATTTTCTATGACAACATTTCCCATAAAATTCAAGAATATTGATAAAGTTAAAGTCTTTCTAATGGATTTAAATGAATGTTACATCTATCATGGATCAGATAGAACCTCACAATTTGTTTTTTAAATTTTAAAAAGAAAAACAATGTGTCTAGTCACCTTTCCAAATTTGTGTATCTCAATGTATTCGTTTTGGAGTATTGGGAAGGCAACGACTGATTATTCCAGGAAAAATTATCGGATATCCTCATCACCCGTTTGGCAATCAACAAAAGAGCAATCACGTAAATTCCACATATTGTTGCTTTAACAATGAATTTTCGGCGACCAATTATCATCTTTATTAACGTTACTTTGTTATTTATGGGGCATCGCTTGCAGGTGTTGGACTAAAAATGAGAGCAGTTTTGAGGGTCATTTAAAATTTAACTTGTTGTTTCGGTTCTTTCGAAAGTAAGTAACACATTGTTGTGTTACCTTGCTATAAAAAATAGGTTAAGTTAAATATTTGCTTCGATAGACACTTTGTTGGTTCACCTGGTTGCACACCTGTTTGATTTTGGAGGCGCCGTCTTGTGGCTGAATATGAAAATTTTAATTATTATTATTTATCAGTGCTGTGGGAACAATCAGTTCTGTTTATTTTGATTGAACGATGCGAAATTATCCGCTAGTTAAGGAAAAATTTTGATTTTACAAAAAAGTGACTTCTATTCCCTAAAATTCATAGATCAACCCCTAGACTGGAGAGATAAAATTGTTTTTCCAGTATTAAATTATTGATCTCGACATTGGTGAATATATAATCCAAAATCGATGGTAAATATACGAAAAAGCTGACATTTATAAAATCGTAGATATAAAACTTTATTTCAAAATGAATTCATCAAAAATTACAAACGTAGATATCACCGTACGTTCCAAATACTTTCAACTATAATCACAATAACAAATTCCCCCCTCCTAAGCCCTTTCTCCCTTCCCGGTAAAATACTCTTCAATCTCCTGAAGACTTTTTCCCAGAGTTTCTGGTAGAAACAAATATACGACAGCAGTTCCAATAAGCGATACAACACTGAACCCAAAGAAGACATTCTGCGCCCCCATGGCATCCAGAGCAGAAGGATAGCTCTTGATAACGACGAACATTATTAAATACGCCACTGATACCATGATACCTCCCCCAACACCCCTGAAACTGATGGGAAGTAATTCCCCGACAAGTGACCAGGGTATGACGACAAAACCCAGAGAACTCATGCAGACGTAAAAGAGTACGATAACGAGAAGCATCCACTTCTGCTGGGCCCCTTCGGACTCCCCCGTGCAAAAGGACGTGAGAAAAATTATCATCCCCGAGAAGAACATGGAGAAGGCCATTCCAAGACCAGAAGCCACACAGAGAACTCTCCTCCCGATTTTCCTGGACAGGAGTGACGTGATGATGCTCATGATGAACCGAATAAATCCCAGGAGAACTAATGCCCCATATTCATTCAATCCATCCCCAAATGTTCCGCCGATCTCCCGAAAGACAGATATCGCGTAGAAGATGACGACGTATGTTCCAGAGAGTTGCTGAGCCAAGAGAATAACGAAGAGAAGACATATGGGTTTATAAACACCTGGTGATTTAACTGCTTCGAGGTAATTTCGGAGTATCCCCTCCCTCGAGGCGCCACTTGTGCTGCATTTGGAGCGATTAGACTCTTCTATTCGCTGGAGTTCCTGGTGGTAGATTTCATTATTTGGATTCAACCACCGGAGGTATTTCTGGGCACGTCGGTGTCGTGCGCTGCAGTCCAGAGGGTTGGGGTACTGCTTGGAGGACGGATTTGGTCCTTGATGTGGAGATCTGACTGGAGATTTTGTATCCTGCGGTTGTAACTCCTCGTCGACCTGATTATCTCCTTTGTCCAGGTCTTTATTTCGATCAATAGACGAGTGATTGCTCTGATTGTCGAAGCAGATGAGCCAATAGGGGCTCTCTGGAATTATGAATAGTAAAAATAGAAAGGATGTGTTGAGTGCTATGAAGACCATTGCAATTTTTCGCCAATCCAGGAAGAGAGCGAGGACACACGTGATGAGAATTCCCAGGGACACGAATACCGAGTTGAGGCACAGCATCATTGCCCGGATTTTTGGATGAGTTATCTCGATTACGTAGACAAATGCGACTGTTGACATTCCTGCTGAGATACCTGCGATTATCCTTGCTGTGTAGATGAGGGTGAGGGAGTGGGAGAATATCAGGAGCAACCAGGAGATGATGGCTGGGACGCAGGTCAGGATGCAGGCAATTTTTCGACCAAAACGATCCATCAGGGGACCTGACATCAGAGATCCCAGGGGGAGGGATATCGTTACAAGACTCGCTGGAATAAAATCAAGGTCATTAATTATCAGAATCCATTAATTCAATTCCTTTTTTTACCTATCCATGAAGCATCTGCTTTTGTGATCTTGATCTCAGCATTTTCTGACTCTAGACCACCATTTAATACTGTACTGTAAGCCATATTCACTCCTGCCTGAATTACCACACAGTACGCCATACAACTCGCAATTATCTTTAATTAACATATTGGGAAAAATTATTACTTGAACAGGAGAGAGTGGAGCGAAATGAAATTACATTGTAAATTGCAGAATATAATTTCTACATTGACTCTAGGTATAAGTTGTTTATTCTTTTCTATTCTAAAAATAACAGAAAAAGAATCTCTTTGTTTTCAGAATCGAAGTGTCATTAATTATTGTGACTAATTACCTGAGGCACTGCATCTTTCCATGTTAAATCAGAGAACGATTTCCCCCTCTTTAAGTTCTTCGGGAGGAAATTCCTGAAGAAGAGTTTGCGAATTGGTGAAAGCATTGTGATAATTTGTGTTTTTTTAAACTAAAAGATTATTTTTATTTTTCATTTTTTAGTCGTTGATTCTTTCAAAATGATCAATGATCTTCATCGAAATGGCTAGAGTTAATTAAGTAATTTTAAGGCATTTTGAGCAACAAAATATCGCGTTTAATGGATTTATTAATGATTTATTTTAGTTACTGGTGGAAATACAGTGAGGATAACTCTGTGATGGAAGCTACGCGGTCACTGGTTTATTTTTTTAATTTACCACGATGAACTGATACGACACCACATCGTTTGCGTGTGGTCTATGCTCTTGGAGCTTATCCTTAACATTCATAGCTCAAGGGCAATCGCGTTTCTTTCATCAATCAGCCAATGACAATCTACATTCATACAACTAATGAAATGTCAAGCGACTCTAAGTGTGGGAACTGATTGAGATTTATAAGCGATGGGAGAAATCTGTTCGTTCCTTCATAGATTCATTGCGAATCGACAGCTACTCGAAGTTGCGATCTATTTTAATTCTTTCATTTTGATTCTTTTGCTAATTTAATTTGATTTACTTAATCACTGATTAAAGTGATTAAGTGAATTAAATTAAAAATCCTAGCAATTAAATCGAAAATCCTAGCAATCAAATCGAAAATCCTAGCATTTTTTAGTTGATAACAGAATACATAGACCGATCTTCTTTGATCTTTAATAAAATCATGTAATCAGAAAGTGCAATTTTTTATAGATATTTTTAATTCTAGAAAATATGAAAATTTTTATTGAATAATTGATTATTAAATGGTTTATTCACCTAGCTTCGAGTCTTCCGTCATCTTCGCTGTCTCCACAACAATTCGACTGAGTCATTGTCCACAATTACCCTCGACTTTTGGTGCACGACTATTAAACGATCGACCAAGTCAATGGTTCAAGGCAATCGTCGATTGATCGAGAATATTTCTCCTCAGTGTCAATCAGCCACTGAAATGTACGTACAAAAAAAAATTATTATTCAATTTTATTCGTAATAAAGAATGATCTCATAAATATGAAAAATAATTTTTCATTAGAAATTTAATCCGTTATCTCAAATATCTATTCACTAATCAGCTGAGCTGATAGTTCTTTACATTTTCTCCATTGATGATCGGATGCCGGTGAAATTGACTCCAAAATGCTCAACCAATCGATCACCAGAGGAAATCTGAAAATAGTAAAAAATAAAATCTAAAAATAGTGTCAATTAACTAAATGCTCTACGATCCAAAGGTCATTAATTCCCACTGAAATTATTCAATTTCCTTCCTCGAACTATAGTATCAGGTACAATCGATGGAATAAAATCGAAGGCTGTCTCAAGGTGTTTCCGAACCATGTGACAATGTTGACATAACCTCCAGTGCTGAGGAGCCCACTTGTCATGGAGCTGTCAAAACCTACCCTGAAAGGCCTAGAATCCCTCCAGGATTCAACAACCATCGATGACAACACATTAGAAAAATTAATCGATTTTGTTTCTCTGAGTTTGACAAAAAAAATCGACTCCACAGGTAATAATCAAATTTCACTGGATATCAACTCGATAATGAACTCGATAATGAAGAAATTTGATATGTTATTCTAGATCTCTCGAGATTTTATGAATCTGCAAAACCCCATGTCATAAAATCCGCCTACACTGACATAACAAGTCTCTTCGTGGAGTCAGCAAGACACAAATATGACACCGAAAATTTATCTACTTACCTGCACTCGCAGAAATTATTTGGCAGTCGAATGGAAAAATTGTGTGACGCATATAAAAATTGCAAAGACTCTCTGATATTGCAGTTGAGTACCATCGGAAATTCACTCCCTTGCGTAATAGATTTAGACTGGAGGCTTGACTACTGCATCAAGGTAAATAAATCCATATCTATTCAAAAATTTCACTTGATTAATGCACATTATATTTACAGTCGAACACTGATAATGACGTGGGTGAGTGCATTTACCACATTCGACTGAGTACAAAGAAGCTAAATAAAATTGATTATCTCAATTTTACGTGTTCACTCCATCAACTTCAGGAATTAGTTTATAAATTGAAAGATGCTGCAAGACACATGGAGAAACTTTCCACTACATGACCCAACAGATGGGCATACTCAAATTAATTGAATAAAGATAATAACAGGTTTTTTTTTTCAGACATTTATTTGATCCATCACTAATTATTATACTTGTTGTGATGATACAACTATATACAGGATAACGCAGTGCTCAAAAGAAATCAGTAAAAGATTACCAATTAAACTCGACAGGAAAACATCTCCCTCATTCAGTCCATAATTGTGTATATATTCTTCAAATAGTCCCCCCAACACTCACTCTCTTGAATTATGATACATTAGTACATACACTAAATCAATAAAATCTTAATCACTAAAAAAAAAGCCGAATAAATGTTCCCAACAGCTCCCGACAAATCTTGATTATGTTTTAGCCCCTTTAGTTCAATTTAACCGTGAAATAATTTGCTTTTTCCTCATTACCAATTACCTAGACCCTCCAGATATTGCAGTTGTAAAACTGAAACAATCTGAGTTTATTTGATAAATAACCCCAGATCATTTCACCAATCATGCACACCTCATCAATTAATCAGTTGAAAATTATCTTCATTGAGTGATACATACGTATTACAGTATGTACTTTTCGTAATAAGACAAGTGGTATTTATTCATTGCAAACTATACAAATTTATCATCAATCTATGATATAAAAAATGCGTTATTTAAATAACATTATATTAATAATTTTTGTATCTTGTGTTTTAATCCCTCTTTAAGACTTACAGTCTAAAACACTAATTCTCATTAATTGCTGATTGATTATTGGGAACAATGTCGGTTTTTGTCCTCGATAACTCTCCATCAATGATTCATCATTGAGCCATCTATGCTATGATTTACCTCATTAAAATATTACTTTTTATCATCGTCCCCTCGTAATTAGACTCGGGTTTATCCGTAATAGTACACCCGAACTAGCAAATACATGTCCATTTATTTCCCTTCTTCATTACTGAGGAATAATTTACACTGAGATGGGATGAGTTGAATTCAATGATTGGAGGATCAATTATTTCATCAGGGGAATTTTCCCCGAAGGTGTGACACGAGAAAGGGGATGAAATTTTTAGTAAAATTGAAGCCGAATTCACGCCTCAAAATTAATCTAAGACACTCCAATTCAGGTAAAACCAATTCCAAACAGGTCTTTTCAACGAATCCCTCTCAATCAATTCCTCCAATCACAAGATCTCCCTCAGGCCCCCTGAACCTCTGTAAAACCTGCATAAAATCTAAAAACATCTCCATTCCAAAACATATTGATTATCCCCAAGGGAATAATCCTGTCGTCCCTCCCAAAAATGAAATAAAAAAGAAAACTTTCGAAAACCCAACAAAAAACTGAATTTTGGTATCACTATTTACACTATAATACACCCCTTAAGACTCAGGTTTACTCCTCTGCTCCTGTGCCTTAATCTCTTTACTCAACTCCTCGCACTTGTTCTCCTTGACAATGACCTCCTCCTTCTCCTTGATCTGACTCACTTTATTATCCTTGACATTCTCCTCCTTATCACTGGTCTTATCGGTCGCCTTATCGCGCGACGTTGAAGAGCCTGAAGCCTCAGGATTGCTCACACCATTGAGTTTATTTTCAGGTCCACTGGATAAATTGGAAGAATTCGTCGAACCTAATTCCTTCTTCTCCTTCTTCTCCTCCTCTTCCACCTTCGGCTCATCCTTCTGCCTAGATTTGGAGGTCGACTGATCCTCCCGGAGGTCCTTCAGGTCCTTCTCAACCTTCTCCTCATCGACCTTTCCCTTCTCCTTCTCCTTTCCCTCCTGACTCTTTCTCCTCTCCCTCTCTTTCCCCACTGCCTTACCAAGAGGCTCCGACTTGTCCTCATGAGGTTTCGACAGGTCTGAGGCACCCGATGTGCTTGATGCACCAGAGGCACCTCCACTACTCGTACCTGATTTACTCAAATTAAAAGCATTTCCCTCGCCCTTTCCCTCCTCCTCCTTCCCCGCACTACCACTGATTTTGGGACTCTTGGGACTCGAGTGGGAACTCGGGGGAATCCTCTGGACTGCTGGTGCCTGCAAACCCTGATAAGTCAAGCCTGAATAACTCCTGGGGATACACCTGTTAATTGAAGGTGGCAGAGTGTGATAAGCTGAGCTGATGCCCATGGGGGATCGCATCAAGGGTCCACCGAATCTACCGGCGTCATTAAAAGGAGACATGAATCCTTGGGGGAAAATTCTGGGATTAGTGTTCGGTGTCGAGTTGGGAATAAATGGATTAGTGAACATATTGACAGGTGAATTTCTTGGAGACAGCGATGAGCCAGATGTTCTGCCAATGTCCCTCGTAAACGGAGCATTATAGTTCCTGGCATTTGGGGAATAAGGAGGTGGTGAAACAATCGGAGAATTTGTTGTGGATATGGGAGAGAGAGTCTTGGGCTCTATTTTAGTGATGATACTTGGAGACTTGGATGTACTAGACTCCTTCGAGTCCTTGGATTCATTGTTCCCATAGAGGGGTTTCACACCAGACGCTGGATTCCCAAGATACCTGGGGATGTTATTTCTGTTTTTAAATATTTTAGGTTTCGACGTTATTGTTTTACTCCCTGATAGACTACTCGATGGATTTGATGAGCCCTCGGATGCTAATTCTTTCGCCTGATTTTTTGCTGCCACGTAGTTATTCCGACTGAGAGATGGATTCCAGGGTCTTGGAGGATCGCGTAGGGTTTTGAAACCCGTTCCCTGCTTTTTCGATGGATTGGAGAGCTTTGGTGATGAATGAAGGAGTAGCTGAGGTGATGCTGTCGATAGATTTGGAATATTCTTGGACGCTCCTTTGGAGTCGGATGGAGATATTGTCAGAGAATTGCTGGGGGTGTAGCTTGGTACATTGGGAATTGTTCCATGTTTAGATGACTCGGATGGTGACGATAATGACGATAATGATGATAATGACGACGATGACTTGAGAGGTATCTTGAGAAGATCTGGAATTTCAGATCTCGTTCTTGTTTCAGTTTTGATCTTGTCTTTTTCCCTAGAGTTCTCACTAATTTTAGCGCATATCTCGTTCACATTTGTTCCCTTAGCTAGAATCTCAGTTTTTCTGATTGTGGGCTTTGATGAGTGCATCAGGGATATGGGTATAGCGTCAGGACACGGTGGCACCGAATAGACAGACGTTATCTCAAGACCTTTTGAATTTGTTCTTGTTGAAGACGAGGTGATTGGAGTGGATGACGTGTTTTGGTGCTTTGCTGATGAGGTAGGGATTGAGTACATGCTAATGGAGGGGGTTTGCAGGCTGAACGACTGGGTCACTTGACACTTAGGGGAGAGTGACGACGATGATGAGGAGGGCGACGACGAGGCCACTGAGGACGACTTCGAGGGGCTCTTCACGTTTCCATCCATCAAGTTCTGCATGTAGAAGGGAAATGTCGATTGTGGAATCACAGGGACATTAAGGGGCTCGGAGTTCTGGTTGTTAGTCTTCTGATTCTCCTCCTGTTTACCTCGATCTGGTGAGGAGTTCCTTCGAGGTTGCAGGGAGATCGAGAGTGATGGGGCTGTAGAGTACGTGCAACCACCGAAGGTGTTAATATTCACGTGAGTTGTTGTCGATGTTTTCGACGGTGATTTCGTGGGTGATGGTGCTGGTGGTGGTGGTGGAATTAATTTCTTCTCCTTCTCAGGCTTGACATCTGCCTTTTTCAACATCTTCTCCAGGAACGACTTCTTCTCCTTTTGAGATTTCTTCGAGTACGTGTGATTAATGGGTCCAACTTTTGGTTGGAATTGCAATTTTGCACTTAATGATTCAATTTTTGATCCACTCTGAGAATTTGATCCTCCACTTGTGGATTTTTGATCAGAGGATTTGGATTTTGATGCTTCTGGGGATTTCGATTGTAATGGCGTTGCTGATGTCGACGTCGAGGATGAGAATTGTGATGTTGTGGTGGTTGTAGTTGTGGGTGCAGCAGTGATGATGCTGGTGGTGGTGATAGCGGTTATCGTGGTGCTCAGGGTTTTTTCCTTGTTGTTGTTGTCCTCTGAGCTGACCTCTGGAGACTTTGAAGCTGATTTTTTGTTCTCCAGGTCTTTTTGGTCCTCTGTTTTTCTCTTGGGCTTCATTACACTCGCCACTGACTCGTCTAATTTCCTCTGGTCCTCCTCGATAGTCTCTTTCTTCAATTTCTTGGAGTCTGGTGATGTTATCCCTGTGACAGACATCACTCCAGTCTCGGATATCTTGAGCTGTACCTCTTTCCATTCTCGCTTTACTGTTGTGTCCTCCGGTGTAGATGGAGTGATTCCAGCTGTGGATAGTGAGGCCTTGAAGTTCTCGTTGTCCTCTGAGAGCTTCAGCCTCTTCGGTGATGATTCGAAGATCCTGTAGCTGAGGTGAAGAGGCACCTTTCGACGCCAGTGGTAAATGTACATGACATCCATTAATGTATAGTTACCGTAGAGAGGTTCCTCCTTGTACATTATGTCCACTCGGTGGGCGTCACTCAGACCGTATTTAGCTCGAATGAGTTTTTGCAGATGAAATACAGTGACTGCTGCTGGACACCGGAGATACCGACGGGGTAAGGATTTCGAGGAGGAGGAGGATTTCTCCTCGTCAGTCTCTGAGCAGATTGGGCTGTCGTTTAACGTTGGATTGTAGTACTCCAGAGAGAGGGAGAGGGATTCGTCTGGTGAGTATATATGGGACTCGATAGGCTCCCCCCGAGCCTCTGGGGACATTGAGGATAGTGGGGCCTCCGGGTGCTTCTCGTAAAATTCACGACGACAACGCATCTCATCTGGAAAGACAATAATAATAAAGATAATTTTAAATGTCTTCTAAAAAACCTAATTAATAAAAATGGAGGTTGAAGGATTGTCTAGTACTCACTTTGGTAGCATCCAGGTACCAACTTGTAGACAATATCCTGGAGTGTGTGATCAGGACGAATATTCAATAAAGGTTTACTCTTGTGAACTTGCACTTCACATATCGGGCAGTACTTGTTTGTCTCTAAATACTTGACGATGCAACTCCTGCAGACTGAATCAAACAAAAATGATGTATCATACTTTATCGTCAAACTCGGATTCTTTACATTCCGTTTTGGTTTTATTTTTCAATGCAATAAGCTCGTGAAAAACAAAACCAAGCACTGATCAAATTAATTATTCAACTTACACGAATGTAGACACTCAATAATTGTCGTAGCATCGATAAAATATCCGTGACACAATTTGCAAGTGAGCTGCTCATTGAGCTTGGCCAGTTTCAGTCTCCCTCCACTCTGTCCAGACATTCTGCAAAAAAAAAACAATCCATCAGTCCAAAAATTTATAAACTCCAGTATTAACCTTAAATTTTACCTCAAACGCATTTTATAACCCCCAAACACCTTCCCACCCCCATATCGATTCTCACAACCAAAGGAAATCCCTCCAAATATTCTAAATAACTCTCTCAACCTTTCTCATTCTCCATTTCTCCGATAAAAAATCATGCATGAAAAATATCGGGGAAAATCAGCCATATTGATACCGAGAAAATTTAATTTCATACACTGGGCTCATCCTTGCACCGACGCCGAACTTTGTGCAGGACATAAAAACATTCATCAACAAGAAAAACCATGAAGAAAAATGTAAAAATCGAGATTACTCACTCGAATAGTCTTTCACGAGTTCCTACGACAGATTTATCACACTTTGGAAATTGTCATTCGTCCCAAAAAGTCAGTAAAGTTGGGTAGAAACTCGGGAATATTCGTCAGGGCTTGTCATCACGCACTGGAGATGTGAATTATTTTATAATTCTTTGGATTGAGATGGGTTCAGGCTGTTTGTCACTTAGCCTCGTGGATCAGAGTTTAGGACACACTGGGGGCTTTTTTGGATATATTTTTTAGAGGGATATCACAGGATCATGATGAATTGGATCACCGTACACTGAAAATTGCGTGTGGAGTAGTGAAACAAAATGGCGGATAAACAATCGAGTAACTGACCTTTCAGAAAACATTGCGATGGCTCTGGGATCGAGAAAGACCTATTTTGTGGAAACGTCTTTCCTCTGATCGGTTATCTCTAATGGAAATCTAGAAAAAAAACATCACCAGCTTTTTATCAGCTGACGTAAGCAGAAAATTCCAGGTAAGTATTACATTTCAGACACAAGGTAGTCATTAATAAATCATTGAGATAACTCAAAGTCACACACCTGCTGAGATATGGATAATGGTGTTGTCAGCGATAATCGAGCATTAATTAACATAAATTGTATGATGTAAAAATAATTAAATGCTCTCGAGTTTTTTGACGTACTCATTAGCTAGAATGAGATCTCTTTTACGCATAGGAAATGGCAATCCGTTTTTTATTTTCATTTTATTTCAATTGATGCGACATTTTGTTGAAACTAGTGCGCATCGATCCGCGCAGTCGGCCAATATGGCCGCACGCTGCTGTGGCGCGCAGAAAATTTGAAGATTCGTTCACGTATTTTCAAGAAAATAAAAATAAAATCATGGGTATAATCAGAAATAATGATATTATAACGTATCTATTATGTTTAGTAGTAATTTTATTAGTGGATTATGAATTATTCTGGTAAATTACCGCGGTTGGAGTATGAAAAAAATTTCAAGGCTGGGCGATTATTTTTCTGTGTGTGATTGGTGGTTATTTGACTGTTAGATGGCACGTGGTGTCTGATTCTGGAGGAAGAAAATAAATTGTAGACATTCTTTTCATGTTGATAGAGGTTTTAGTTTATTAAAAATGTGATTGAACTTTGGAGGGAGTCTATACAAAAATCATAAATTATATTGTCGAGTTCTGAAAATGGTCAAGGTCATTCCCAGAATTTCGTGATTGTTGATACACTGGTAAATACGCAAGATGGTGGAGAATGTATGATCTAGAATTATTATTTGCCTTCTGAATAATGAAATTCTCAATTTTGAATTTTCACAATTTAATTCACTCTCATAAAAATATGACACTGTTATTCATAAATTTCACTTGAATCATACTCTCATTAATTTCAAATTGAAAATCCAATGCTCCCGCAATTTTTCTCATGCACTATGAAGTAATTATTCTTTATTTACCTTGGAAAAACGTTCGGCGCACTTGAGAGCTGCCTGATGAATTTTCTTATCCAATTTATAAATTTTCATTTTGCCGGGCATTGGAAATTTAATGGGCAATTCATAAAAATCATCACAAATAAAAACGTAAGGGCTGTCTGACTCCCCCTCAGGATAAATTTTCCGATACTCGTCCTGAGGGAGAACATCAACTACCGTAACATAACCGAGAAGAACTTTCGTGGGATACTCCTTAGGAAATTTGATATTCTGGTTGACGAGAACTCTGTATCGATGCTCAAGGCTTGATACTTCTTCGGTGGAGGGTGTCTTGGAGGCGGCATGAATCCATAATCTCCCTCGATGTGAGGAATACCATGTCCTTCCTTCGTGTTTTTTTATCCTAGAGATCAAGAGCGATGCGTAAGGTTGATGCATCGACAGACAGAGGCCTTCGTCGACCATCTCCAGCAGCTGCTTATCCTGGACCCGATGAATCATCGGTTCATTTTTATTCAAGGGAATATTCACAGATAAATCCCCTTCCATATACTGCAATCAAAAGTTTATCAACAGCTGGAGAACAATTGAGAATCACTAGAAGCTAAAGAACTCGATAAAAACACTCACCACTGGTCGATCAAATTGGAATGTCGGACAAATCAGATCCAGCGCTCTCTCGGCGATTCCTCCACTTGTCTCCAGGGCCTCCAGCTGTCTCTTGAAGATTTCCTCGGAGTCATCCTCTTCCTCGACGACTTGTCTCCCAAAAATATCAACAGTAAATTTCTTCTCCAATCTCGATCCGTATTTTCTCTCTTTCATCTCAGCCTCTCGCCTCTCCATCTCCGCCCTCTCCTCCTTGGACAACCATACACTATTGCTGGACTGATAATAATCAGACTCATCATCGATTACCCGAGTTCTCTTCGCGCTGTTCCTGTCGAACTCCAGGAGTTTATCTCTCTGCTTCAGGGCTGCTTTACTCGGTTTCTGCTCCATTAATTTATTGTAAAGATTGTCTGAATTTTTGGAATTCGTTGACAAGACATTCTGTTGATTCGGAGTGCACACCAATTCACCACAGAAAAAACAGGGACCCGCCCCCTCCTGTTCGCATACTATTCTCCCACATGTCAAGCAATTGTTGATGAGTTTGTGGGTTTTTGCTTCGCAATCACACTTCACTCGACCTTTTAAAAAAACCGCAATATTGTTACCCTTGACTGAATATAAATTTACGAACTTCTTCTTCTTGTCTGGCCTCTCCGATTTCGAGGTCTCAGGTACCTCCACCACTTCCTTCTCCTTCGACTTCAATTTTTTCTTGTCTTTTGATTTTTGGGAGCAGCTGTCAATGTCACTAGATTTTCTATACCCTGTGAATTTATTCTCTTGAGCTGTAATTAAGCGTTTGTCATTAATTATTCACCAGGAAATTCTCTGGAATTACCTTTCTTCCTTTTCAGTTCAAAAATGAAATTTTTGTGTTTCGAGTTATTGAGATCCAAGAAGTTCTTGAAGAAGTCGTCCAGGTCCCTCTCGTTCTCTATTGTCATCATGTACCTGAGGTTTTGGTGGAATTATTTTTGGAGGTTAATTTGAAGCCGAGAGGTTTCTTCGAATAATTTAGTTCTTACTGAATCATCTCCTCGCTGACGGGATAGTCCAGGAGTCCAGACAGACTTTGATGTATCCAACGATCCATTCCTCTTGTTTTTTTTTATCAAATAAATTATAATATTCCAGAGCCGATTATAAACACCGCAGAATGTGGCAGTACAACAGCTGTTCTGACTGCCCAATCGTATTACAGTGATTCCAAACGATTCAATTTAATTGGTCTAAAGAAATGTCGGATAAATAATTTATCGGTCTTTCAAAGTCTTTCGTTAAGTAAATCAACAAAATTAATTATCATGATCAGCTCCACAGTAGTTCCTATAATTAATTATTGCAATTATCACTATTTACACTAATGAATTTTCCAATTACAATGAATAATTCCGATAAAAAAGACAAGTGAGACATTTTTAAATAAAAATTTATTACTTCTCTATAAATTAACAACGAAGAATACAAAACAATTAAGATACAAAATGGCGAATGGAATCTCAAAGGCTTCCAATGCCGTTGAATCTTTTGAGTTTCTCGGGGAAGACGTCCTTAAACAACACAGGATCAGCTCTGAATTCCGCGGATTTGAGTGGCATTGTGTGATAGATTCTGCTGAATCTGTTGATACACTGTGTTCTCTCCGCCATATGCGCTAAATCAGCGGAGAGCATCTCCGTATTGGTGCACTCTGGACACCGGAATTTCTTCTTCGGCGTTACCTTGATCGGTGCCTTCCCCGTGACATTGGCAACGAGAAAATTCATAGCGATATCCTCGCAGTTCATGTGCTCATCGACCCAAGACTTAATGTCCCCTGGCATGGAGGTTGTGTAAAGATAACTCCAGTATTTGTGATGAAAAGCTGCACCAGTGAGAACCATGGATATTCTATTGGTCCACTCGCTTTCATATTTCCAGAGATTCGAGGAATTGTCCCAGTTGTGAGTTCTCGATGGGAATCCAACGATTCTATCCGGGAATTCCCTCCAGACTTCGTAAGCGAATTCCACTTCGTCAGACGTCAGCATGATGATGTCATCGTCAATAGAGAGAACAGCCTCAGTCTCGATTTCTTCGTAGGGGTAGAATCTGTTGGATAATTTGTTCTCCTTTGTTTTTATTACCTGCAGGGGTTTGCTGAGCTTTGGCCATCTGGACGGTGGGGGTGGATCCTTCCTCTGATTATTCCAGATGACGAGGACTTTCGAGAGACTGGGCACCTGGACTATTTTATCTATCAGAGAGAAGAGTAATTCCACTCTGTCGTATGTCAGGATAACAGCGGTGAAGCCATGAATCTTTGGAGCTGTTATGGGAAGAAACAGGGGATTCTTGTTTATGTCGGGGACATTCCAGTGGTTGTAGTCTCGAGATAGATGGGGAAATACACGATCAGAGAGAATGTCCAGCATGGTAGTTGTTATTTTCTCCATTGAGCTGAAATATGTTCGCCAGAGCCAATAGCACTGACGTCGCAATTCCTCAACTCGATTTGGAGAGATGGATTTGAGGGTTGATGTCAGGGTGAGAATGTCAACCTCCCGGATAAATACAGCAGCTCGTCTCCAGTCGATTACCTCAGCAAATGGCATGACAATTGAATCCTCGATGATCACTGGAATGCATCCAGAAGCCAGTGAATCCATGAGGACACTCTGACCGAGTCTAGCTCCCCTGATTACCAGACAGAAGTTGGAGGTCTGTAGAATGTCTGGATATTTGTAAACCTTCTCTCCTAGGCACCTGATGCTCGAGGACATGGGGTTGTGATGGAGACAAGCACCTAGTATCAACAGCTCTTTGTTCCCCGCTGCGATCTCCATCAAATCCTGCTCGAAAGCCAAGTTGATGTTCATCTGGGAGGCCATCACCAGGTGCTTTCTCCTTTCTGGAGATTTTTGGTGGAGACCAGCTGCTGCTGGACTAAACACAGGAATACTTATGTCGAAATTACTCCTGAAGGTCAAAGATGATGGTCCACCAGTGGCTAGCATTGCTCTGCCCACTGGAACGTCCAGGGTGCTGTTGTAATCTGGTAAACCACCTGGAATCATATTCAGGATTAGATGATTTTCACCGTTGTTCCAGAAATCCAGGGATTTTAATGACTGCGACGTTAATTTCAGGTTTAAACGATTCTGATTCAGAGTGTCCAGGGAGGGGACGAAGAGACACGCCTCCTTCGGGTTTGGTGTGTAGTACGGGCTCGAGATTATCGCTGACAAGTACTCGTAGTATTCCCTCGACATTTGGGTTTGAATTCCTGTTGTATCCCGGAAGTTCCTCGGAGGGTAGACGTACACCAGGAGTTTGTTTCCACGAAAACCACATCTGTAGATGTTGAAGCATGTGAAATGGGTGCAGCTGATGTTTGTCATGGTGGTGGTTGGGGAGTTGGAGGTCAAGGTGATGGTGGGAATTGTTGAGAGATCACCCAGGACCAGTGGGTGGTACGTGAGCTCCGATGATGGATGGGTGAACAGGAGAATCTGGTAGAAAATCATTGATAAGATAAAAAGTGTGAAGATGAGGGAGATTACGATGAAGTGGGGACGTGAGGGCAGGGGAAAGGACTTTGGGAGAAATGTCATCTTGAATTTGGTTTTAAATGGAGTCTTGGAGTCTTCTCAGAGAAATTCAGGAGCTTCTCGATTTTTGGTTATGTGGGCATTCGTGGAGGGAATTATCTGAAATTATCCCCTTGTAGAATGGTTTTGCCAGTTTTTGTTGCAACTTTATCACTCTCACATTTTTTTAACTTTGAATAGTCCTCAGGGGATTTTTTTTTGCGGATTTTTATAAATTTTTGGAGTTTACAGGTACCAGACCATTTTTTATTTTTATATTTATTTCCGTGACTGACAGGTTAGGATCACATCAGCTGATTGTATCGCATCTATCGCATGGTATCGCAGAGGAAATATCTATTGATTATTGAACGAAAAACTTCGATTTTTACATATTGACAGATTTTTCTGGGTTTTGGAGTGGAAACAATTCTTTGGGAATTAATTTCGAGGCTTTTTAGTAGTTTATGATGACATATATTCACTTTTGTACAAAATAAAAGGCCTATCAACAAAACGTGAGGTATAAAGCGTAACTCGTGGGTGTAAGAGCCTGTGGAGTTTTTACATTTTCTTGGTGATGGTCTTGATGATTTGCGGGATTTTTAAATTGATTAGACGATTATGGCGTAATTGGCTGCATGAAATCAACCCCTCGACATTCCAGGGCGATGGAAACACCCACAGCGAAGACTCCCACGCTTTTAACTATCGACCTAGAAGGAGAAAATAGTTGTATTTAATTTCTAGAAAGAGTGCAAAAATTGTTTTTTTCTATTTTTGGCGTGCAGTCTCAGGTGTTTGAGGTTACTCCACATGTAGATGCAAATAAAAAGACAGGGAAGTGTAAAAAATAGTATTTACCACTTGAATGGGTCGCAGTAAATTCCTTTGATTATTCCCATTACACTTCCCATTGTTGTTATAGTATTTTGTGATTGAAATTGACGGAAAATCTCGGAGTTTACCGATCTGGGAGTCGCAATGTTCAATTTGATTCTCTATTTATTCAATTCGATATGTAACACTCGTGAAAACCACTGCGTCGCGGTTAGCGCGCAGAATCCATGGCGGTTCGTTTGAATTCAGTACATGTCACGACGTAGAAATGTTGAAATGTTAAATAATAAATTGAATATTCTAATGATAAAATGTCATGAGAATTTGATTTTCGGTAAAAGCAAAATGCCATTGAGACTAAATAAAAGAAATTGACAATTAAAATTTAACGAAGATTTCTTGCAATTAACAATTCAAATTTTTTAAATCTTTTGAATTTTTGGCATTTTAATTGATTATTCAATAATTAATGATTTCCGATTTTCCGAATTTGAACTGAATTAATCAATAATCCAAGATCAAATTATAATCGTAATTTCGATAATAGAAATTCCGCGATAGATCGAAGTCCTTCGATTTTAGAATCGCAGAAAAAATGTAATTAGAGCAAGAGATTTCTTATTGACGTCAAACTCTGAAGAACAAAAAATGGAGATTGATAATTGCGATTGAAATTGAAATCCGTTGAAATTCAAATCTGTATTTTAATTCAACGCTGAATAATTCAGGAGTAGGAGTTTGATGAAATTTTTTCAACCTCTAAAAATGCGAAATGAGAAAATTCCAAGGGTCTGACATTTGATATATCATCTTGTTTACCACCTGGTGGATCATATTTCCGACTGGCGCAGGCGTGGGAGTGGTGGATGCATTGAGGTACCTCCATCGAGGCCAGTTGGTGGTCTCACACCACTTGAGATATTCCCATCAAGTACATGTTCATGTACACAACTTTGTCAATCAATAATAGAGACCCGCCTCCGCACATTCATTCATCCCTTGGTACTATCACTCGTCAATTTATTTCAACAATTATTCAAGACTTCTGAGGTTTTTACTAATTTTTCGGTGGCAGTTGTTTCTCATGTGACGATTTGTACACGAAGGACTGAGTGATCTTGCGGATTCTACGAGACGCGAGCCCTTCGTAAACAGCTGCTCTCAGATATTGTGATATATACGATTTTCTTTGGGATATCGAGGTTCTTGGAAATGGCACAGGAAAGCTCCAGGAGTGTCGATGAGAAGAGCTATATTTTGGATGCCAGGAAAAATTACGAAGATGTGAGTAATTTTTTTATTTATAAAATCGATATTTCTGATGAATTTTATGTTTCTGGGATCTTTTGATTTTTGGATCTTTTGAGCTTTCATTTGAGATCATTTCAGTTTTATTCTCGTTTAGTTTAACATTCATTGTTTATATTTTTCATTTTTTCAATCATTCTTTAATCTAAAATATTTATTATTTTGAGTTAAATTGTTTGATTACAATAATTTTTTAATGCAATTTCTTGATCTCTAAAAATTAAATTTCAAATTCAATTTGAAGATAAAATATTGAATTTTTTTTTTAATATTACACTCAACTTTTATATTAATTATAAAAAAAATCGTGTTGATAATTCCGGGTTGCTCTCCATGGAAAAGTACTCAATTCGGTAATTAATAGCGATACAATTAATCACGAAAATATCAGTGTTATCACCCACACGCCTAATTAATGATCGGAATTATTCCGGAATGTGGATTGCATTAAAAAGAATTGAGACTCATTTGCATTGACATGTCAATTCAATTTTTCCTAGTTCATTCTTTACGAGTCTGACCCGATTGAACTTTTTCACGTTCATTATGCAATAATATTCATAAATGTTACTCATTCCTCTTATCTCACACCAATGTACACAATATTTCGCACAGACAAAAGCTCGTATCAGCGAACACAACAAAAGATTAATTCCATTCATCACCAAAATATTTGCTATCATCACCACAAACTTTGAAATATCATTCCCCAATTATTCCACTATTTTTAATTACAAAAATTTCTAAATCTAATGAATTTTTCCTCCAAGAAAATTCACCGAAATAAAATATTCTTTACTAACTCCTGAATTATTTCCCGTAAATCATTCAAATTCCGTTCAGTTCACATCAAGATTTAATTATTAACAATAAAATTAAAGAAATAAACCCGTGAATTTCATTGAACTCAATGAAATGACCAATTAAAATTGTTTAATTCTCATTTTTATCATGAAACATCAAATATTGAAAATTGAAAAATATTTTTGATGCTGCAATAGGCAGAAATAATTTGTATTGTTATTTAAAATTTATTATTATTTATATTTTTTATTTAGTTAAAATATTTAATTAAAATATTTCGTTGTCGAGAACAAATTAAAGTTTGAAAATGAATGAATTGAAAGGAATTGTATAAATTGAATGAATTGAAAGGAATTGTATAAATTGAATGAATTACTGGAATTAATGAATTGTAAAAATTTGATGATTGACAATCTAATATTCGCATGCACCGAAATATCAGGGCAACAGCCTGGGAACCGATGACTCCTACGACGATATGAGACAGCTCGTAAGGGTAAGATAATGGTGTTGTCTCTCTGGGGCCTCCGATTAATCAAATATTTCTTCAATTTTTTCATGTTTGTTAATGATCTTTTGCTCATCATGCTCACCGTCATCGCCTTTGGGTCTTCAGCATCATAACCATCAGCAAATAAACATAAATAATGCCATCGGAATGTATCATTAAAAGTGATTATAACTTCAGCAAAGTGACATTTTTATTTAGAAATGTCTTGGCGCATGTTAAATCCAAATGACTAATTATTTTTCAATCGCTGATTGAAGGCATGAGCATGACTAAAAGACTCTAGGAAAATGCCACACCAATTTATTATTCTTTTTCATTTTATTTAATTTATCTAATTGTCGCAGACTTCAACTAGTGAAGGAGCGGTAGATAAAAATGTAGGAGAATTCACCTCACGAAATTCAACTGGTGATTTTCAGTTTTAATTGGCAATTTTTTAAGATTTTAATTGGATTAATTGCCATCGATTTCAGGGGGAGGAGGAGGATGAGTCGGGGAAATTCTCCAGTCTGCCACTGGCGAGCTTTAATTTCATCAATTCCATCATTGGGAGTGGAGTAATTGGTGGGTAATTAATTTTCAAGATGAGAAAAGATTGTTATTTATCATTTTTCCATTTTTCAGGAATCCCTTATGCTCTACACCAGTCCGGATTTGGATTGGGGATCGGTCTTCTGATTGTCGTTGCTATTCTCACGGATTATTCCTTGATTCTCATGGTCAGGAGTGGACATTTATGCGGGGAGATGAGCTATCAAGGACTCATGAGAGCTAGCTTTGGAAGAGTTGGATTTTACATACTCACAACACTCCAGTTCATTTATCCATTCATTGGTAATTTAATTGCATTGTTTATTTAAAAATTTTGTGGAAAAATCTCCGAATTCTGTAAAATTTTTATTACAATTCTATAGATTCTATTGGACTTCCCTTGAAATTTTCTTAAAATTCCGTTTGTTTTTTAATAAAAGCAGAAATATTTCGTGTGAAAATATAAATAATTCATAGATTTCCATTTTTTTTAATTCCCGTACTGATTTTTCTATTTTTTCTTCATGAATTTTATTATGAGGATAAAATGAATTCTCCGAGGAAAGATTTGAACTCAGATTTAAGAATTTTCATAGAATTTCTTTTTTTTTCTTTCTTTTCTTATTCATAAAGAATAATAATGGTAATGACTTTGAATTAATTACAGCCATGGTATCGTACAACGTTGTTGTCGGCGATACAGTGACAAAAGTTATAATCCGTGTATTCGGCCTGAGAGAGGATAATATATTCGGTAAACGCGAAGTTGTGATTCTTCTGGCAACAATGTGGATAACAGTGCCACTTTGTTTATACAGAAACGTAGCAAGACTAGCTAAAATATCGTTCCTCTCCCTCGTCTGCGTCGGCTTCATTCTCCTCGCAATATTCATCAGGATGAGCACAATGGCAGCACTAGTGTAAGCTAACAATCATTATTTCAATTAAAACTCCCCAGAATTATTTACAAAATAATTTCCCTATAACTTAGACTAGACCACTATAAATGAAAATAGAGGAATACAATTTCCTGATAAAAGCCTGATAGAAGCCTGATAAAAGCCTGATAAAAACCTGACGAAAGCTAGAGTAACAATCAGATGTACTTGTTTTCAGTCCAGAATCCACCGATAGCTGGAGATTTGCATCGATAAGAGGTGTAATTCCCTCGATAGGAATAATGGCATTTGCATTCATGTGTCACCACAACACATTCCTCATTTACGGCTCCATCGAGCGTGCCACCCAGCAGAAGTGGGACGTAGTGACCCACTGGTCCCTCTTCACATCATTCATCGTAGCCAGTGCTTTTGGTATAGCTGGTTACGCCACATTCACGTCACACGTCCAGGGAGACCTGATGGAGAACTACTGCTGGGACGATGATCTCATGAACTTCTCCAGAGTCATGTTCAGTGGAACAATCCTTCTGACTTTTCCCATCGAGTGTTTCGTCACTCGTGAGGTAATTTTATCTTCTTTCATTCCCTTATTGTTTATTAGTTAACAAAAGATTATAAGTTAACGTTCCCCAGGTGATCCTTACAGCGATAAAGGGAACGGACGAGACGGAGAATCACGATATGTACATCGCAGGTTCTGATCGTCGATATTTACTCATCACAATGGGAATAATAACAGTGGCTTATTTTATCTCGATGACCACTGATTGTCTGGGGGTTGTTCTTGAGCTGAATGGCATACTGGCAGCAGTACCTCTGGCCTACATCCTCCCAGCTCTTTGCTACCTGAAATTGGAAAATGGTGGACTGCTCTCGTCCCAGAAACTTCCTGCACTCGGGCTCTTCGTGGCGGGAATTTTTGTTGCTGTTTCGGGACTCTTGTTGATCATTTTTAATGACGACAGGGATGAGTCCTGCAAGCATGGACAGATTATGAGCTATTGCTTGAGCAATTCCACAGTATCTACCACCACTTCGTCATCAGAAATTACTACCACTGTTAAACGATTGATTGCAACAACTGCGAGAACCATTTCTAGCTCTATTGGTGTCACTCAGGGTTTTGAAACCACCACCATTTATTCTGCTGTCACTGGGAGCAATGCCACTGATGCTGCCTTCACCGGATAATTCTTCAGGGTTCAGGGAACGGTCAGTGATTTTTTTGCGCGAAAATTAATTTTTTCCGGCTGAAATTAATGCAGAAAATCATTTAGGAAAAATTACTTTCTAGGGATTTAATTGTATAATATTCTATTTAATTTGAATTATGTAAAAGGTTTTGGGGGATTTATATTCGAGTTTTTTTTGGAAATTCTTTCGAGGATTTTTATTTAAAACTGTTGTTCTGTTGACAAATATTCAACAGAGGAAAAGTTTTTCATCTTCATTTTTCTACGAAAATTGTCTATTTTGTATTCTTTTTGCACTGTTTTTTATAATAATTTTCTAAAAACACTTTAGTCGAAACTTTTAGGAGAACTATTTTTTTAGTAACAAATAGTTTCTTGGTTTGTGATTGTTGTTCATTTTTCCAGTGGAGATTCGATGGATTTTCTGTTAATTGTTGAGTTTTCAATATTTTCAATAATTTATAGCGATTCATTAATGAGATTTGATAAATATTGAATACCAATTATTTATTTTGAAGCAATAATGCTTTTTCTGTTTGAAGTTTTCTACAGGCATCTAATCTGGAACATTAATCTCGCCAGAATAATTCAATTACGATTAGAGTAATGAGCAACAGGGGCTGGTATAATTACCAGTTTACAACAAATGACGATCTAAAGAAAGTTGTGAATATTATTGATAATTATTCATTTAGTCTGCAGAGCTGAAGGTGCACAAAGCAATCAATAACATTTATTCCGATTGTTTTGTAATCTATCAATTTTCTTAAGATTTTTATTTACATTTTTCCCGAGCTCTCTGTGTTGACAATATTTTTTATTATAAACATTATAAATATTATTTCTTAATTTTTCTTCAATTTGATCAAGAGAAAGAGATTTTACGAGGAGAAATAGAAGTGTAAATATTGTTTTGTGAATTTATTATATTATATTAATATTGCTATAGCATAATAAATAATGGTCGAAGGCTCGAGAACAATAAGGGCGGGAGTCCGAAAAGGGAATTCCATCGGGAATTCGTTGATTTCGAGCCTTTGACACCCGATATTATTTATTTAAGAAAAATCAAAGTACTTAGATGCCAAATGATAAATGAGAATATTCGAGACACTCGAAAGGGGACGACAACTCAATTACAGCTAGCGCTTGATATTTTATAGATAAAAAAATGTGTTTTGAGAAAAATTTTCGATAATTTTAACATTCGCAAGACCCTCGGTTTATTTATTATTAAATTACGAGTGGTTTTCTCGTGGTTAACTCGACCATTTCTCACTCTGTGATAGATTACGTTCCAATCAAAAGATGATAAAAGATGATACTGATAATTAATGCAAGCTAATTAACTAATTGAAATTCACTCCAAAACACCAGGGACGCATGAACGAAAGTCTAATGGTTAAATATCGATATGATATACTATAAATATGTAATAATGTATAAATTATATTAATGTTCAGTCATATTGCATTTGTTCATGTTTATGGGTGGAGCAATAAATTCTACGTGGTTGAATAATAAATGAAAAGAGGAAGTTTTGGACTTCTTTCAATTTGGAAAATACCTTTTTAATTATCTACAATTTTTTAAATAAATTACGATGATTTTAGTGATGACCTAATTGATGAATTCGTTGATGTTTAAACTACGTCATTTTTTTATTTATGCACTTAGGCTAGTGCTTCAGGTACTGTTGCTGTGCAAGGCCCTTGGAAATGGTACCTGAAACAATAACATAATTAATTAATTATAATTAATTAATGATTCTTGTCTATTCCTCGAATTTTTGTTTTTTTTATTGCAAAATTTTCTGGTGCATTGAGAAAATCATTTGTTTCCTGAATTAAATTTTTTCTTATCAATTCTCTCTCAACATTTTTGTCAATATGATATTCATTTTCAATATTGATTGATTATATTAATCTTTTTACAACAGTCTCTCCATTTAATTTTTATGGATTTTACAATAACAATAAATAAATGAAAATACCGCGAAAAATGTGCGTCCAATAATTTCTACAGAAATGTTAAAATCAATTAAAGTTCAACTAAATGATAATAATTATTGCAATAGAAGCGAAAAAATTCCCTAAAAATGGATTTTGGATATTCCCCTCAGATGAAGCAAAATTTTTGAAGAATAATTGCTCTCCCAATTGACGCAGACAGTGAATGATTATTTTAAAATTACTGAAATTTTCTCGTGGCGTCTGTTTCTTCGATGTTGAATTCAGCAACTGGAATTCCTCGTTCAGCAACTCTAGGTGCAAACATCGCAGCTGGATAGACCATTGAGGACGTTCCAATGATGAGACAAGCATCACAGGTCTCCACCGCTTGCTCTGAATAATTTAAACAGATGCTGTAATAATTATGGAATAATTGAGGGATTGTACTGCTCTTGGGAATGATATTGACCAGCTTTATCAAGCACATCAGCATCTAAACTTTCCCCAAACCATGTTATGTGTGGTCGCAATAAACCGTCACAAGAGTTTTTCTTGCACTTTGGAAGTTCTTCGATTGGAATATCCGAAGTCATAGCATCCGGATCTGGAGAACTGTAAGGTAATCGTCATGATATCGATTTGTGGTCATTATCCAGAGATTTTTTGATTGAAAATTTATATTAATCAGAAGAAAAATTGACAAATTGACAAATTGATTAGTAAGAGAGAAGATTGTTGTCTAGTAATTTTTTTGTGGATGTGTGGGGTACGTAAAATAGAGTAGGCTGTCCTGATATTGTCCTGATCTTTTGAGTTTTACCATTTTCCATCTAGGGCAGGACAGATGGGAATTGTGTGGTTGATCTCGATGTCTTCGCACTTTGTGCAACGGGTCTTGTAGAGGGAACCGTGAAGTTCTATTATGTTCTTGGTTCCAGCTCTCTGGTGGAGGCCGTCGATGTTCTGGGTTACTACCGTCACATTTTTACCTTCTCTTGTTAATCGCAACTCGAAATTTGCAATTGCTTCATGCGCCTGAAAGAAGCGAAATAGTTGAGGAATTCAAACCGCGGAATATCCTCTATTTCTCTCTTCGCATTTATATCAGTAACGAGTGGATTTATAAAAAAATGTCATAAAGATTTTGTGTGGAAAATTGAATTTCCCACAAAAAAAAACTTTTGATATTTTCTCCTAAAGTGGATAATTACCGAGATAATTACCGGAATAGTGAACCGAATTCTGGAGCGTGCTAGTTTCACTGGTACAAACATCAGTACAATAATCCATAATTATCTCGTTACTGAGTGGATTTAGAAAAAAATGTTAGAGGAATTTCTTGTGGGAAATTGAATCCCCTACAGAAAGTTCCTCTGAAATTTTATTGTAGACTCTATAATTACCGAGATATCTGCGAAATAATTGATAAATATTATTATAGTGACCTTATTGGGCTGTACTTTAGCAGCTCCATTCCTCCGGAACTCATAAAACTCCCACACGAGGGATGGATTACTCTTAAAAGCATGGGGTGTTGCCAAACTCTGGGCCAAATACGTTCTCCAGAATCCTCCAGCACCCCTGAATGTCGGTATCCCAGATTCCGCCGATATACCGCTACCCGTCAATATTAATATATTTTTTGCATTCGCAAGCGATTCCTTAAATGACTTCATCACGTTATTCAATATTACGTTCGCCAGCTTCAACTGATTTTGTTTCTACTTTCAATAGTTGTATTTTTATCACTGTTACGTATTCCACGAAGGGGAGGGGGTGCCTCACAGCTGGTGCGTCAGCTGTACCTGGCGCCATTTTGGAGAACAAATTCTCGGAAATTTTACTGGCAATTTCAAGGAAAATCGACGGAGAAAAATAGAACAGCATGACTTTTCGTTATGGAATAAATAATATTGAATAATATCTCTATTGGAAATTAATTAAAAAAAAAAAATTCTGCAATTCTATAAAAAATTATGCAACTTTATTGTATAATTTGCAATAATATTGCCTGTCCATGAAATTTTGATAATTTAATTAATTATTTGTGTATCTCTTAATTAATGGAATATTCTCGCAAAAACGAATAGTTTTTAAATAAAATTGAAATAAAAACTCTTATAAAATTTTTGTAGAATTCCTTGAAGAAATCGTTGAGTTGCGATTTTAAACTATTTTACGTATAAAGAAAAAAATAGAGAATTAGATTTTCTATTTTCTCGGAAAGTTGATTGATTTCTCAGAGATATTTTCCGTCGATCTCTGTGAAAATAAATCCTTGAAACCCACTCTCCTCTCCGACATGTCGAGAATTTCTCCCTGCAACTCTTTGACCTGCGAATTTAATTCGAATCTCATCCGTATGAGAGAGAAAATAGCAGAGAAAATATATCTTTTACTTCATTTTCCATTGATTGAAGACTCTCCATCAGAGTCTTCACGGATTTTGTGCATTGATTTGCTGAGACTCTTCGATCATTTTCCATTCTCGCAAGCATCCCCGTGGCGAATTTCGCGAGCACTTTCACCGCATGTATCTAAAAAAAATATTATTTACAATATTCTAACGAATTCCTCGTACCCCAAACAATTTATTTTACCGATATTCCTTTGGACTTCAGGTCTGCAGTCAAACTCGTCAATTTGCATCTGATTTCTTCGAACATCTGAAGATTTGATTAATTTATATTCCATTAATTATAATTATACATACAAATTAATTATTTAATTAATTACACATAATGAAATCATAAAAACCAATAATTAACCCACATTAATCAATAATTTATTATTATTATTGTTATTATTATTATTATTATTAGAAGTAGTAGTAGTAGTAGTATATATTTTTTAAATTATTTTCAGATGTAAAAAAGAATAAAAATGATTTAACCGAGAAATTTTACCTGCAATTCGTCAAACGTCTCCTCCAATGGCTCCCCATTGACAATCTTCGCAAAACCAATAATTATTAATAAATAAAAACATCAAGTTAAATAAAATAACCTCTACCGTTCTCTTCAGCTCGTCCCTCCCTCTGGCATAAATAACAAAAATCGACATTACGACGACACTGAAGAAAAAACACCAGAAAATTTTGAAATAGCTGGAGTAGATAAATAATATTATCCCAAAGGTTTTAACTCCGCACGTTGTGATGAGACAATAAATTGTGAATACCATGGTAAGTGTCCCATGCATCTTTGAAATTGGCGCTGCAACTGATGCGTGCGCAGGGACAATTAATTTTGAGGTTATGTTTTCCAGTGCCGAGAGGAAAACGTATTTATCAGTTCAACTGTTCGTCGGGCACTGTGAAGAGTACCCGAAATAGTTATCAGAAGAAGTAATAAACAATAAAGCTTCAAAACTATTTAAAAAACTCGGAATTGTCATTTGAAAAAATAACAAAATACCACAATTCAAAGAACTCCACGCACTGAGAATTGTTATAAACAAATAGTGATTATGGGAATATAAACAACAGTTTCATAATTACCTAAAGAATCTACTGTAATTCGTGTTATTATTGCTATTATTATTATTTTTAAACCATGAAAAAAAACAGCAGAGTTATTTAAAGAACGTAAAGCAATTGGAATAATTATTTAAAGGGAACAAGAGGAATTTGTAATCTCTAATAAACGAGTAACAATTAGGATAATTATTTAAAAAATGGAAGAGCTAATGCACCTGGACCTTTACGGACTCCTGGAGGTTTCGCCCTCGTCAACGTCATCACAAATAAAGACAGCCTATCGTAAAAAGGCGCTGTCATGCCATCCGGATAAAAATCCAGATAATCCAAAAGCAGGGGAGCTCTTCCACCAGCTGTCAAGAGTCCTGGAGATCCTGACTGATGAATCAGCGAGATCTGCATACGACAAAGTCCTCCAATCCAAGGAGCAGGCGAAGGAGAGGGCGCAAAAGCTAGACGCCAGGAGGAAAAAATTCAAGGACGACCTTGAGGCGAGGGAGGAGAAATTCCGGAATGCCGGGGAACCTGGAAAATCCGGGAAATCAGACGAGGAGAAGCTGAAGGAGGAGATCGAGAGGCTCCAGAAAGCGGGATCCAGACTCGTCGAGGAGGAGGTGAATTTCATTAATGAACAGATTCGCCAGCAGTTGAGGAAAAATCGAACAGAAGGGCGAGAAGGGCAGGACGAGGGGAGTGGAAAGGTCAAGATCCGGTGGAGAGTTGATAATGAGGAAAAACTGGAGAATGGAGGGTACAGTCGCGAGGTTTTAACGAGAATTATGTCAAAGTATGGTGATGTTTCTGGGGTGGTGCTGTCTGGAAAGGGTGGAAGGGCTCTGGTGGAGTTTAAGGAGAGATCAGCTGCGGAAATGGCTGTGGGAATCGAGAGAGGACTTGTGGGGAATCCTCTCAAGCTGGAGGGCATGTGGGAGGGGGCAAAGGTGAAGACAGAAGGGCTCACAGGATCTAGGACAGAAAGACCGAAGCCGACGGGATCGAGGACAGCAGAAGGGCTGAGCTCAAGACTTTTTCCGACACAAGGGGATGCTTTTAGGGGCCCCTCGACATTTCCCAGTTTTTCCTCGGCTCCTGATATATTTGGGACGACTAACGACGAGGACTTCGAGACCATGGTCCTGGCGAACCTCAGGAGGGCCGAGGAGAGGAGAAAAATCATCCACCAAATGATGGAGGAGAACAAGACGAGTTGATTTGTAATTCATTAATAATAAAAATCAATCTTGGAAATCTCAAATCAATAAAACAGACTTTTTCATATTTGTATTTATCTCTGGACTATTCCTTTTTTATCGTTTTTATTAAATTACATTTTTTGTTTGTGAAGGGGATTTTTTTGTTTTGGAGAATTTGACGTCGAATTTTTTAAAGTTGCCGCCTTTTTTCACTACCGCTACTGCGTGATGCAGAGAAACCCAAAAATATAACCTGAACAGGAAATCTAAAGGAATAGTGCAAATACTTGTAGCGAAACCATTATTTTGGTGATTATTAATTAGAGGAGAGTAACAAAAAAAGGTGAAGTTTTGCAACAATAACGGAATTGACAAGTACATCAAGTTAATAATCAATTAAAGGTGAGGGGGTAACTGAAACTGTGATTAGTCGATTGTTGATGAGCTCCCGGCGTCGTTTGTTTGGTTTTGTTGATTTTGTTTAATTGAACAATCGTTCACTGAATAAAGACTGATTACTTCATTATATGTGATATTTGAAAAATAAATGTGCATTCAGTGATGGATATTTTTCAGAATCCGTTGGATTGATCGCCTAGAGAATATGTCGGGGGGAATTTTGTTCGGTGGTGACGAGATTGGGGCCCTCGTTTTCGATTTGGGGCATCATTCCCTGAGAGTCGGTTATGCCCAGGAAGACACACCAAAGGCGGAAATTCCAGCGGTCGTTGGCATTGGCGAAGACACCAATGGAGGAAGCAACAAGGGAGAACCAATGGATGTCGATGATAAAAAACAAGATAGCAATATTACTCAGTCAAAGCCGAAGTATTATATTGACACGACGATTCTTCATGTTCCCAGGCCAGGTAGGCATTTATATATTAAAATCAGGACTAAAAACTCTTACAATTGTCCCCTCTAATTTTGTTAATCAATTAATTTTTATTTATCTTTAAACTCAATTAAAAACTTAGATGAATTCGTTTCGATTTATTAATTTACTAATTTATTCACAATATTAATTAATGCAACGTATGATAAATTTCAGGTATGGAAGTGGTATCCTACATGAAAGATGGAATGATAGAGGACTGGGACCACTTCGAGAAGGTCCTGGACTACACATATTCCAAAGTAATCCAATCAGATGCCGAGTACCACCCAGTGCTGTTCTCAGAGTCACCCTGGAACGTGCGAAGTAAACGAGAGAAGCTTACAGAGTTAATGTTTGAGAAATACAACGTGCCAGCGTATTTTCTCGTGAAAAATGCAGTCCTGGCAGCATTTGCCAACGGCAGAGCCACTGGAATAGTCGTGGACTCTGGTGCCACGCACACATCAGCTGTTCCCGTTCAGGATGGATTTGTCCTGACGCAGGCAATAGTCAAGTCTCCTCTGGGGGGTGACTACATCAGTATGCAGTGTCGACAGTATCTCCAGGAGAATGACATCGATCTATCACCTGCTTACATGATTGGCAGCAAGGAAGTCGTCAAGGATCACGAAAAGCCCAGGTGGACGCCGAAGAAGGGCATCCCAGAGGTCACCAAGTCCTGGCACAATTATATGGTTAAAAAACTCATTCAGGACTTTCAGGCAACTGTCCTCCAGATCTCTGAGGCACCGTACGACGAGAAAATTGTTTCGACAATTCCTGCGGTGCAGTATGAATTTCCAACGGGATATCATCAGGATTTTTCCACTGAAAGGTTCAGGATACCTGAGGCTCTCTTCGATCCCAGTGTTGTCCAGATGAGAGGTGGTCTCGTTGGGAATACCATGCTGGGGTGTGGACACATTGTCACAACGAGTGTTGGAATGTGTGATGTGGATGTGAGACCTGCGTTGTATGGAAGTGTTGTTGTCACTGGAGGCAATTCCTTCATTCAGGGATTTCCAGAACGTCTCAATCGTGATTTATCTATGAGAATTCCATCCAGTATGAGATTAAAACTCATCAGTGCTAATGGATGTGCTGAGAGGAGATTTGGCGCTTGGATTGGGGGCTCCATTCTCGCGTCCATAGGCACATTCCAGCAGATGTGGATATCGAATCAGGAATACGAGGAGAGTGGAAAGAGCCAAGTCGAGCGGAAGTGTCCCTAGATCTAAATCGCCTTTTTTTCGTTTATTTTCTGTGAAGTGGCAAACGAGATAATTCCAAATACATGGAAACATTTGATGGGAAAACCTGACGCCTTCTACGAGGAATTTTATTAAGTCTCTGATAATTTTATTGGAGATCTATAAGAATTCTGGTGAAACAGTCGTTTTTGTTTTTTTTTCCTGCAGTAAAATTAAAAATTATTACCAATTGATTGTTTTTGGACAGAAAATCTGTGGATTTTTTTTTATGTAATTTATTCTGTTGGGATTCTTTCTATTGGATTGAATAAAATTAATGGCAAAAATCGATTTTTTTTATAGGATTCAAGAATGTTTTTAATGGAATTCTTGTAGGAATTGAAAATATTTTGTCGAGGACAGCGCTAGGTTTTTCTGTAAACCTTTTTCATTCACAAAACTTGATTTTCCACCTCTGTGCTAGTTTTTTAATAAAAAAAATTGAACAATTAAAGTCTAATCATACGATCAGGTGGTATTTATGTGAATTGTAAGAAGACGTATTTTGTAAAATATAAACCGAAATTGTATCAAGATAGTAGTAGAAATTATTATTCACCCCAGACTGTTCATTTGTGTTTCTTTTTGATTCGTATTGCTTCGACGGAATCACAAAATCTAAAAAAACAAAAATTCCCCCAATCGAATGATTTCATTTTTATAATAAACTCTCAATAATTTATACTTCCACCAGTTGTTGATCATCCCTTCAAATAAATTGTAACATTTATCAATAATTTCTAACGGTAAGTTGAGATTAATTCAATGAGTTGCGAATCTCTAACGCAAATATTTTTCCAGAAAAATCCAAGGCTGTCCATGTCTACCAGGAAATGGATGCAATCAGTGAATTTTCGCAACAGCATCGCCAGTTCCCGGAAAAAAAACCGCTGTCACCTGTCGTAAACTTAAATCGATAGCGTGATGGATATAAGAGAGAAGCATCACCGAAGAAAAATAGAAACGTCAGTAGCAGAATTCAAAATCATGGCATTCAAATACTTAGTGGTCCTTGCAGTCTTCCTGTGAGTATTACATTTTATTTATTTACCTTCAACATTCCACGATTCCACAATTCGTAATATTCCTCATATTTCGTTTATTAATTTTTTGATTAGATGAATCGAATTGAATTTAAATAACAAGTATTTCAAAGGTGTTGTTTAATTTTCTGATGAGGCGATAAAAAATTGAGTGGAGGTAATAAATAAATTAAAATGTTGTAATTGAATATTTTCTGTTGCATCTTTCAATGATCTGACAGTTAATGAAAAGTTCAAGAGAAATTTAATGGAGTCTTCGAATTTTCCAGGGCTGCTTCCTTCGCTACTCCAGTGAGTCAACCAAAACTCTCTGAAGCTGCCCCAACGCCTTGTCCTGGTTATCGACCTGATATCATCGGTCCAATTGATCCTGGAATGTATCCCCCGAATATTTATCCCGGTTCATACGACAAAGATTTCGCTAGAATACCCCACGGGCTTTTGACGATCGCTTAATGCTGTCAGAATTATTTATCAACATAAATATTTTCGGGATGACAATATCTGATTTAAAAATAAATACCATTGACTAAAACACTCCCATGTATTTCATTGTTTTCTTTTTTCTCTTCTTGCGGTTTTCCATTATTTTTTTATAAATCCGCAGTCCAATTTCGTTCACATAATTAGAATAACAAAAATTGAATGAAAATCAAAAAAAAAAAATTGAAAAAAATTATCCTTTGGACTTCCCCGGATTTTATAATTGACTTTTTGATTTGTCCGCAGAAATTCTCTTCGTTGACATAAAACAAATAATATCCCATCAATTCCTTTTGCTTCAAGCTATATTATTTTCTGAGTTTTCCTGGTAATGAAGCACTTTTCTAACGAAAATTGAAATGTTAATGAATTTTCATAATCAATATTTAAGTCGCCACATATTTACTGCTGACATGCTCATAAATGACATCATAAAATAGAAGAAGAAGGCCAGAGACACGTGATTGTTATTATAAGATAATATTTTGGCTATAAAAGTAGCTGCGCTAGAGAAGATAAAGTCTAAAGTGTCCGGCAAGTACAAAAATTGAGGGAATTATGAAGCTTCAATTGTTCGTGGTGTTCCTCGTTATGATTCTGTGAGTAGATTACAAAATTATTCAAATCCTTCGAGTTTCATCATTTTATTTTCAGGACTTTGTGTCACGCAAATATTGGATATTGGTTTGCACAGCCATTTCAACAGTTGGAGACATCCCGGGCACAAGATTACTGGAAAATCTCTGGTGGTAAGTTCGAAATATAATAATAGTAATCATAAATAATTATCAAAAATAAAAGAACATAATCTAAAACTTTCTGCTTGTTAACAATTCAATTTCTCAACCATAAATGTATCGATTTCTAAGAGTTAGATTTTTTCTGGGAGTGAGAAATTGTTTTATAAACAATTCTGTTTGTTATTTTTAGATTGTTAAAATTGTTCTTAACTTTTTTCAGGAAAAAAAACCCTTTGGGAGGATCCTTCCCGCCCACTTTTCAATTTAGAAGACGAAAGTGATAATTCACCGAGGACTCGTTCAAAAAAAATATGAAATGACATAGACCTCCAGAAATTAAAAATCTTGAATTCAATGCGCATCAAAAATTAATGTAAAAAGTTGATGAAATACTAGAAAATGGGACTGCTAATTGATTCACCTCACTAAATGACTTCAATTAATTATTGAGGACAACTCATTAAAACACAACTAGTGTCAATTGCGATAATGAACATTTGAGTGATTGTAATTTTCGTCGGTTTTTTTGATAGAAAATTCGTGTGTTTTTGTAAATAAAATCCAAGGTTGACGCCATCTGAATTGTTATTCACTCGGAAATTCATAAACCATGAGCCACAGGATTTACGAACACTCGAGAAGCTTTTGGACTAGACAGTACCGAATTTATGGTCTCTATAAAATTGTTGATAAGAGCGCAGATATAAAAAATGTTCGCAAATACAACGGAAAACAGTCTTTCAAGCATTTTTTCAGAATGAAAAGTTAGATTAAGAATTTTTGAAAAAAAAAACTGCCGCCCGGCGACCCTCCCCCCCACGATGGATACCAATAACTATCCTTGAATTATTCTGAAAGCAATTTGTTTACATTTGAGCAGAGTTTGTTAATCAGCAAAAAAAAATAAAAAATAAAAAATAATCTGTCGTATCTCAAGCTGCGTGAGAAACTCTAGACTTCCATCTTGGCCCCGCGGCTAATTATAGTAAGAATGTCGAAAGGTACATCAGAGGTAAATGACTATTACTCCCCACCGCGGAACTTTATATTGAATTACATTTTATATTAGGTATATTTTTGTTTACTCACTCAACAGCAATACCAATCGATCTCCTTTGGAAATTATTGACGTACTCAATTATTGCTTGTACTCGGTACAAGCATGAACACTCCGCAATCCTTTATACAGCAAATTCTATAATTAAGTTTATAATTATGAATTATAATTAAACAGTTCATACTTATATCGGGTGCCCACGTAGTAATCTCATGCCTTCCCCGATGGATGCCCCACTCCTGAGTGTAGTTTATTTATCCGCTATCCCAGACGTACAATATCCGAAGGTAGATCGAATGATTTGATGAATATCATGAGGTAATCCAAGTCAAAAAAATATTTTTGACGGCTGGAATTTCAATTTTTTCGTTGGAATCTTTCGTATTGAATCATATGAGGATTTTAATGGCGAAAAGAAAAAAAAATTGGCTTATGAGGGGATCGAACCCGCGACCTTCGCGTTATTAGCACGACGCTCTAACCAACTGAGCTAATAAGCCTTGTATCTGAGTGTTTTTTTTCTCCAATTTAAATTGAAAAATGCTAAAAAATAACTAATTGATTATCATTATGCCGTATGTTTGACAGTAGAACGATTGCACAACAAAATATTGCAAACTTGAAGAAATTATCTCTTCAATTATTTATGCCATTTAAAAAATACAAAATGTTCATTGGAAAATGTCATCATAATATTATTTATGTGGCGAAAAATCATTTAGGAAACTCCGACTTCTTTGAACTTCTTCGACGTTCTTCGTAGTAATAATAAATTATTGTCAAGAGACTACCAAAATTGATTTATTGATTATTGGGAAATCAATTTTGGATTTGGTGAGAGGGTAGGATAGAAGGAAAGGAAAAGACGGAAGAGAATGGAATATTTCAGGCATTTTTTTAGCAGATGAATTTTTCCATCATCGAATTCCCTGGGGTACGTTAATTCGTCGGACCAGAATTATAATTATCTTGAAATCACGGGACACGACGCATCACCCCATCCTCCAAGACTCGTGATGGCATACCCATCGCTGTCCACGCAAAAGGGACGTCCATTGCTGAATTGAAGGGCCTCGTAATTCCCATTGGTTTCACAGGTCAAGAGATTCTCCAGCCCTTCATCATTAAAAATTCTCGTGTCTCTCGCACAGTCTAAAACGAAAATAAAATGAGATAACCCAATTATCTGAGGACGAAATAAAAAATTATAAACTTCTCACTGAGAAAATTATGAATTTATGAATTAAAATTGAAAAAATGTTTGGAATTTCTCACTGCAGTTCATGTTCCTGACGGATCCAATGGGCGTTTGATAATTCTCAAGTCTGCTGGAGTCCTTCCAGGTGCAAAATACCCTAAAAATAATTTCCACAAATCATTGAAGTAATTCATACACTTACCATTTAATATATAACCAATCTTCAGGCATTCAAACACCAATTGATATTTGAAATTTTCAATTTTTGTTAATCGCCTCAATTCTAAAACTCTGAATATATTATTAATAATAAATTATAAATACAGCTAGAAGATAAAAAATAAATGCAATTAATTACGTTTTCCTGTCAACCCTGTAAGAGGCAAAACTGCCATCACCATCGCAAAGTGCTTCATCGATAAATGAGAAAACTCGTCCATGGGCTCTCAGTTTCACCAGAATCTTTTGACGTGCAATTTTCTTGCTCTCGCACTGACGCCAGTATTTACTCCCTACATCATCCCCGTCATCTGAGAATGAATAAAATAATGATAACCAAAACTTAAAATAATTGACAAAACTCACAGCAGGATAAATATCTCATCATGGATTCTGGGAAGATCCTCTCCACGGGCTGTCCAGTTTTTGGATTGGCACACCAGCATAAACCATTATCACACTGCAATGACTCGTAATTACCGTTTTCTGAACAATGAAGGGACAGATCTGGTCTAGTGGCCGCCAATTCCTCTCTTCGTCGGCTGCAGGCTGTAACAGGTTTATTCTGCATTTCGAATTCATTTGAATTCATCTATTTACCGATTTATGAATGATTCTAACAATTCGAGATGCGATGTGGCTTCTATTGTTGATTATTCAGAGATAATTTGTGCATCTATTCAGTCATTAAGAATAATTCTGTGTTAATTAACGTGCGTTGCTCTACGCATACTCAAGAGAGATTAAAAAATAAAATGGCTGCTGGTGTCACACGTTTTAAACTCTCAGACCAAGAAGATTCTCCCCCTCCAACGAATTTTTCTTCTCCCTTGAGTCCTAACATCGTCAACTGTTGCTTAGGGATTAGCAATAATAAATGTATAAAAAAATAAAGTACTGGATACCACGGGTGCGTTAAATAATAAAGATGAGTTTATCAAAAAGAATATAAAATGCGATATGCGAATAATTTATCTAATATAATTTTATTATAATTAGATTTCAGATGGAGAAATATTTGGAATTAATATGCGATTCAAGATGGAGAGGAACTGTCCAAAAGATGTTCCTCAAATTTCATACCAACAAAAACGCAATGCGTCTTCAAAAATTTATAGACTTCAGAGATAAATTTTTACAGTTCTTCAATGAAAATTGAATTTTAACTGTAAGATCAAATAATAATGCCGTCATAGGATAGAGTATATATTACCACAAGTCATATTTTCAGCGTCTTTCAACCAAGACCACCCAAAAATTCTCTTTCCATCCTGATTGTAACAGAAACATCTACCAGTAGCATCTTCACCCTTGCACTGTTTCGGTGAATAAGAGCCATCATCTTCGCATGAGGGACTCCAAGGGAGATTCGCCCACTGGTTGGAGTCACATTTGGCTGAAAATATTCTCAAAACATTACCCGCATCGATAGAAAAAATTATTATTACCAATTTAATTAATTAAGTCCTCCCAAATCAGTATCGAAAATTAAAAAGAGAATTTCGCGGACATTTCAGGAAATTTGTCGTCTCTGATGAATTTACTTGGAAATCTCAATAACAATAATAACAACATCAATAATAATAATAATAACAATAACAATAATCATAATAGAGATAATTGGGAGGATGATAATAATATTTATGATTATTGTTATAATTATAATGATGATAATAATTTGTTTCAGTTCACAGAAATTGAAAAATATTAATTTTACCTTGACTGCATATTTTATTTGTGGAACACTGCAAAGGGGGAAAACACTTTGAGCAGACGCAACTGCCACCCAGACCTGAGACAAAAAAAATTGACAATTTGAATTTCTAATTTGAAAACAGTTTTTTTTGGCGAATTGAATAAATAGCGATTGCTAGATAATGTACCTACGAATTCGGGACAGTCTTGCGCGCTTCCATAAATCGAGGAATAATAAATTCCGAGGAAAATGAGAAATTTGTTCGGTATTTTAAACATTTTGGATATTAACAAAAATGCACTGAGCACTTGCTGCTGCAAGTGTCATATCTTCGTTGGAGAATCGTCAATATCTTATCGTCAATATTTTTTCTGCAGTTCTAGCTGATAGGGAATCATTAAAAGGGGAATGTTTTTTTTGTCTTTAATTCGTCTTTAGTCTCTGGATATTTTCTATTATGTTTAAAAAAATGTTTACGATTTTTTGCTCAGTACAAAAATTAATTGAACACTTGCCTTGTCACTTCATTAATTAAATTTCCGAATATTTAATCAATTGATTAAATTAATTCAATTGAAAGGACTGTCTTCTATTAATCCCGGAATTCTTCTCCGTAAAAAAAAATTAATAACAATTGAAAATTTATAATGAAATTGTTAATAATTAATTGACCATGACTCATATTATTTATAATAACAACCGATCACGAAAATTGAATAGAATCCATTTTTTTTATTTTTGAAAACACGGGAAATTGAATTTTCAGAACGAAAATAATTTTCAACAGAAGAAATTTAATGGAAAATATCTAAACAAATGATTTCAAAGCCGTTAATTATTCTCAATAAACAAATCCTATTCTTAGTCTCAAATTAATTAATTTCTTGCATGCTTAACGAAAAAATGATCTGCAGCTTTAAAATAATGAACTAATTTTATGCTGTCGACTATTAATATCCAGT